ATGTATTGATGAAAAAAATATGTCTATATATTTGGATCAGTTAAGCTCCCTGAGCTGGAGGGCCTCGGGGCACTGCCCCGCCTAGCCCCTAGGTAGCTACGCCACTATAAGGGTCACCTGCTGGCTGCTACTCTCTCTTTGTTATGGTTCATGTGCGCGTCAACGGAGCGTTGTTTGTTTAACCTTAATCATATTCTTATTTGCCGTCACAAGTGTACCTATTAGATGGATAGTTATATTGGTAAATTCTATATTTGCATACAAAAAAAATCTACGGTACACTAGAATATTTCAAAACTAGTTCTTTGATAAATCACCTCTGTGTCAATTGAGATGAAAATATATACCAAATTCTAAATATCTTTATTCATGTAGGTCTATTACAGATTTATGATATGTCAAATCTACCGTCAGTTCGGAATGATATCGAGATGAGAAGAACTGACAAGAAACTCAGTACATTTTTTAAAAAGAAACAAACGTTATGAACGCACGATACAAGAAAGAAAGAAAGTATTTATTGCCAACCATTATTACACATTTATTCATATAAACAATGAAGTATTTAATATTTTTGGAATATATCCACATTAGAAATTGAAATAGAAATAATCTTCATTCAAATAAACTCAATACAAGCACTTTTGTATAATCATATTTTTTATTCTACCACTGAATAGGAACGCAGACTGATCACAAGAAGAATGAGCGAGAAACTTGTGTGTTGCTCTTTTGAATAGATGTTATTTTAAATAAATAATTACATAACATCAGATAAGAGGCATGCGATAATCAAGATAGAAACCGCTACGCACACATTCCTAGTGCAATCAGATAATATTGTCAGCGCTATGAATTTTAAGTTTTTCTACAAAAACGTTACATACATGTATTCACATACAGACGTATATATACACAATAATAATACATACTTTCAGGGAATCATTACATATCCGTAACACAATTTTTAATGGAACGGGAGTTTCCTTACTTTGATACTGTAAAAAAAATGTACATACCGTCAACTATTTGTATAAGAAATACTATCTACTCATACATAACAAACTTGCATGGCAATAGTTGTTCATGCACGGGATTTTCACTTAATGTTAGACATAGATACCTATATAAATAAATGTACATTGTAAATAAACTGGCTTTTAAAAAAAAAACAGTTGAGTTTTTTGCCAGTTCTTCTCAATTGAATCTCTACACTGAACTGGACGGTAGGGAAAAATGTTAATACAAAAAAACATTTGACCTTCATAAGCGGCTAACATGTCCTACATGAATAAATGATTTTTGATTTGATTTGACATGTAATATATATTGAATAAAAGAAAATATAACAGCAATTACATTTCAATCTAAATATATAAAATTCTTCGTGCCACAATGTTACTTACCATACTCCTCCGAAACGGTTTGACCGATTTTTATGAAATTTTATATGCATATTTAGAAGGTCTGAGAATCGACTACTATCTATTTTTCATACCCCTAAGTGATAAGGTTTTCTACACCTAACATTTATTTTTATTTTTGTATAATTTAGCATAAATAATACATAAAACTAAATCTTCACCCTTCCACCATCAACCCCTACTTTTTAATAGCGGTTTTAATTTATATAGCAAAACAACATTTAGCCGGGTCAGCTAGTACATATATAAACTAGTTCTCAAACTCGACCTTCCATAACCAGAAGTATGCATTTAATTTTTAATTTTACTCAATTTATTTGTTTATTTACTCTACTAGCTACTCGCCCCGACTTCGCACGGGTGTATATGTATTATATATATAAACCTTTCTCTTGAATTACTCTATCTATTAAAAAAGCCGCATCAAAATCCGTTGCGTAGTTTTAAAGATTTAAGCATACATAGGGACAGACAGCGACAGCGACTTTGTTTTATACTATGTAACTATCTACTCGCCCCGGCTTGGCACGGGTGTACCTACATGTATTATACATATAAACCTTCCTCTTGAATCACTCTATCTATTAAAAAAGCCGCATCAAAATCCGTTGCGTAGTTTTAAAGATTTAAGCATACATAGGGACAGACAGCGACAGCGACTTTGTTTAATACTATATAATGATGATAAAGAAGCATTTAATGGCTATTTCCTTCAACAAACACTCTACTTATAATATTCTACGCGTCTACCATACGCGGCGGCTAAACTCCAACCATCAATAACATCAAGTACAAGCTCTCGATTTCTTTGTCAAATTGGTATACTTTACAGAAGTGCCAGCCGGCGAGGTGGTGGCGGTGGCGGACGGTGGACGGCGGACGGCGGACGGCGGCACTATGTCAAAGCTCGCTGACGACGCAACTTGCATGCTCATACGATACGCTAGTATAGTGTGGGTATACCAACAAATATTTATATGCAGAAGCCACGCCTACAATTCTCCCAATATGAGAGCATTGCAATTATTAAATTTATTTTTAGGTCCAAGATGCTGACGTAACATAGAAGCCTTGCCTTCCATAATAAATAAAATAAGAATATTTTTATCATTGTATAGTTTAAGTAGTAAAAATAGTTTTAAAATATAATCGTGTTGGCAATTAGCTGTAAACTTATATTGTTTTAATTAAATAAATATATGTATATTTATTGTTTCGCTTATAAAGACAAAAGTATTAAAATTCTTAGATAACAGCACGAAAAGAAGAAAAAAACTATAATCAGTTATAGTCTTTTATTTCTCATAAATAACAAAATTTATAAAAAAAACGACTACAATTGTGTTTTTGTAATCGTATTTTTTTTATAAATTTTTGAAAGAAAAAAGACTCTTTCAAATAAATTTACTTAATATTCTCATTGTTAACATTATTCTCTAATTAAGTAAGAAAATCGTCCGCGTGAATCCTTATTCCATCAGCTACCTGGTAAAGAAAATCCCGTCAAAATCGGTCCAGCCATTTCAGAGATTAGCACTTATAAACAGACGGACAAAAATGAAAAAAAAAATAGTTTGGTGTATGTACCGTATTTATATTCATATGCATGTAGTAAAAAACGGTTATTACAAACAGACATTCCAATTTTATTTATATGTATAGATTTCAATTCGAATAGAAACTACGATCGCAGATGGTAAATGATATTTTTCAAAATTGACAAATAATCGAACGATATAAAAATGGATTTTATATATATAAAAATATATATATAAAATATATATATAAAAAATACTGTAAGTCTAAGAAGGTGCGTCGTGCACAGTATCGTCATGTCCACAAGGTGCTGTCGGCTGCGGTCTGGCTGACCAACAAAAACAGAAAACACAACCCGTCCGCTGACGGAGTTTTTTTACTGCGGCAACTCGGCTGCAAGTGAGTTTGATGGAGGGGCGCGCGTCAGCGTTTCATCTAATGTTTTTTAACCCTTCCCCCAGTTTGCGGCCGTGAGGGTTAATTTTTTTTCGGTGCGTCGCGTGGTACATTCGTTTTCTTTTTTGACCTCCTGTTAATTTTAGTTCTTCAGATTTAATTAGCTTATAATAGGTGCTGCTGAATCCATATTTCTTTTATATTTAGATTGAATAATTATAGGGTACAGGTACCTATTATAAAATACTAGGTATATTATTAGTACAGTAACACATTAGTATTTTATTATTAAATCATTATTTTAGATAATTTTAATAAGAAATTTATCTGTTTATACTGATTGTGTCACAGAGGAATTGCTTACCTACTATTATTGACTTTCGACAGGAGTCCGTTTTAATTTCTAACTATGCAACTGACAGTACCAAGCATACAAAATGATGTGACACGACGCAATGTTACAAAAGTAAAAGGATCAGTATAAATCTGTAATCAAAGAAAACACAGAATGTTATCGTCATTGGCCATCTATTATACAGTAGCGAAATAATTTCACACAGAGAATAGCATCCCTGCTAAAGCAAAGTAACACTTGTGTTTAGAAGTATAGCTATTTGATAATAGATGGCGTTAAATATAAATTATTTTTTTATTTCTACCTTAAGTATAAAGCGAGTTATTTATTCCTAAATATTTTTTTGTAATGTACTAGAGTGGAGTTAAATATTGAGCAATACTGTAGGTATGAGCAAATAAATTTGTGACTGATCTGATCGGAAACGTACAATATTTTTTTTTTAATTCTGAATATAACGCTAAAGCTCTACTGGTATACACTTACGGGGCACCAGCGGAGGTTGATGGAATATATATTATGATGAATAAATTCACAACCAACTTTGAAAGATTTCAGTTATGAAATTAGCCATACTTTATGCTATCAACTGTTATGGTACACGTAATATTAACACGTGACTAAACCACAATATTAGCTCAAACACCGGACGAGTGGAATCAACAAAAGTGTGTTTACTAACAAACCGACCGACCGACTTCATACTTCGTTCACAATAGCCATAGCTACCAAGAGTCCACACTGAGCAGCATGTCCTATTGGTAAGTCATTCTTTTAGAATACACGTTGCTGATATTGCGACTATAAATTGAGATATAAGCTATCCCATCTTTAAAGTCGAATCAAATTGAACACAATGTGCAAATCAAATTTGCAATCGGTTCAGTAGTTTAGGAGTCCATCACGGTCAAACAACGTGACACGTAATTTTTATATACAATGCCTAGCGTACCGGCTTCGCACGGATGCAATACAAGTCTCTGAATTTCTCAGTTTGTTTTATATTATAACTCGCATGTATTCTACATATAAACATTCATCTTGAATCACTCTATCTATTGCTGAAAACTGCTTTAAATTCCGATGCGTAATTTAAAAGATATAAGTGAACGAACTGCGGCGGCGACTTTGTTTTATACTGTGTGAAGAAGTCATTTGCTTGGGTTCCAACTTTAATCTCACCTATATTGGCCGCTTATCATTGTGTTATTATTAAACACACAATAATTTATTAAATTTAAACAACTTGTTACTTACGTTTCAGTTAAAACTCGTCGGCGTCAAACAAAATGGCGCTACGCTATTTAATATTATCAGTAACATTATTATACATAACACAGAGCGGGCACGCGATGATAATGAGAAACAACGAGCTGATGAATAAAATGATGTCACACTTCAACTCCCAAAAAGATAATCAACCCAAACCTCAGCACGACGCGCAGAGTCCAGAAAAGGTTTTGTCTCTGATGCAAAACGTATTGTGCCGAAACTTCCCAACGATACCGTGCAAAATGATCGTGGACGACGAGGCTTTGAAGAAACTAATCGAGAAATCAATACAGCAGATAAAGTATAAGAAGATGTCATTAGAGAAGACAACACCGCGCCCTGACTACCACTTAACCTTATTTCCGGCATTCAACAGCGAAGATCTCTCAAATTTCTTGCAAGTCCGCGAGTCTGAGTACTATAGAACAGATAAGAAAGACGTAAAAAAACTTAAGAAGAAACAAAAGAAAACTTTAACGCCCGTAGCGTTCTGGTCTCATGAGAACCCTGGGAAAGCAACGAAGAAAAGTAAGAAGGAAACAAAGGAGAAGAGAGCGTACACGGGACGCAAGAAGATACGTAAGTTTTATCCGCACAAGATAAAGTATAAAGATAAAACGGAGACGAATGCGAGGAACGTCGGGGATTACTCCGATGACAAATTGTCGATGTCTGTGGAGCTACCCGACATGACGAAACATCAGCACCTGAATTACAAGGTGGACGCGGCAGACCCGCCTGTGTGGAGGATCGACTACATGAAACACGGAGAGCCGAGCCTCAACATGCTGGGATACGAATCAGATGCACTGAAAGAGAAAATGATAAAGACAGGGCCCAACGTTATCTTCGATGATAACGTGATGGAACAAGCTGTAAGGAAAGATGTCATGCATCCCGATGTTTATATAAAGAATAATTTTGTTAGAAAAAATCTTGATAATATAGCATCAGATGGTATTGATTAAATTATTTAAAATCTTTACTTGTTATTATTTTGGACTGTAGGTAAAATTACTCTATCAGGTTCCCTAACTTTAAATAGTTTCGAAGAGATTACAATGTGAGTTATTTCTCTTGCAAGATAACCTTATCACCCATTGTTATTACAGTTAATTAGGGTGGCCACACATAAACTGCCTATAAAATATATTCCAATTACAATATATTTAGGAGTATACATAAATAGATTTCCATATAACAGTACACAGTTGAGTTATTTTACATTTTAGGGTACAAAAATTTTATTTCACCTATTTTGATTTCGTTGTTTAAGCAGGCAATATACCTAGGATTTTTTTAATTGGTGATACTGGATTGATTTACACGTCTGCGCTAACGGTTAACGCTGGCGGGGCACCAGTGGAGGATGATAAGATGAACATGAGGTCAGGTCAGTTAGCCCATCGTGTCAAATTAACCAGAAATTTATCATGACGGTTTACTAGGAGAAACCGCGTGGAGGTCAATCCGACGGGGTTATTAGTCGACATTTTTAACAATCCCCTTATTCTCAATAACCTTGGATTGTAAGTATATTACATAAACATGCTCTGTACATTGTTTTTAATAGGTATATCTAATAACAGAGCAAAAGCTTCTGACAATATTTGTAACACTTTTACAGTTATGTTTACCGTTAAAAACTGTGTACTAAAAACATCAAAAATTATATACATACTAACAAACAACATTAAATAATTTATCTGTTCTCTCCGTACATTATATCAGTCCAAATTCAACTGTACACACAAAACAACTTCAGGAAATAGATCCATTCGGCAAGTTCTCCACTAAAAACAGGCAGTGTAACAAACCCGATTGATTACCCGAATTAATTTCTTGAGCCAAAACATGTCAGGACCTGTGTTAACATCTCACATACTAGATACATCTACAGGCAGACCAGCGTCTAAATTATATGTGGATTTGTTTAAGAAAAAGGACAATATATGGACGGCATGGCACAGCACCGTCACAAATACTGATGGTAGAATATTATTCCCGTTTACGAAAGATTCAATGCCTGAAGGAACGTACAAGTTACATTTTAAAGTTGGTGATTATTATAAAACAGCTGGGAAGGAAACACTATATCCGTATGTGGAGGTAAATATATAACACATTGCAGGAAACCGGTAAACTCTTCAAATCTTTTTTATTTTTTTCCCGGCAAATCGCGATATAGCGTCGCGCCAGTTTTTTTTACAAATTTCTTGCGACTTTCCATTTCGTGTAACAGAACGCGTAAACTTAAAAACATCATCGTAAAATATTATCAATATTTTATGTTTTCTAATTTTGGCATGACCATCTAAAAAAAAACAGTGCTGCGCCGTAAATTGGCGGGAAAATGGCCGACTACATAGTGTTAATATTATAGTGGAAACTTCTGATTTATTCTTTAATGCACAAATTAAAGAAAAAAGTTCATTATAAACTTGACAGTTTGCAATATTGATCACTTCACTTTTCACTTCGTTCGGAATTACACTTCATCTGGAATTACAATTATGACGTTACATTTATTATTTTTACTTTCCAATTCAAATCGCAGTCAATACTTCGGTAATAATGACTTTCCCAAATGTGATTGTAGCCGTAAAGATATAAATTTTGCATGAACGGTAAATAAGTGTTGCTCCGCCATCTATTAATACTTCTTAAAACTAAAATGCACGTTTATCCCTTTCTCCTTTCCATAGTTAAAGAATCCGTCACTAGATAGCGCTACTTGTCATACAAAAATAAAATAATTTAAATTATTCGCAAAAACTTAGATGAAGTTTCAAGACTTACTGAACAGACATAAAAGAATAGAAATAGATATAATCTATACATATAAAAAAATAACGGTGTCCGTTTGTAATATTGAAATAACCGTTTTTTATTACGTGCATATGAATATAAATACGGAGAGAAGCAGTCACTAGGTGGCGCTACTTGTCGTACAAAAATATATATTTTAAATTATTCGCTATATCTTCGTATTTGTTAAAATTACAGGTACCATTTGAGACAAAAAATAATCAACACTACCACATCGCTCTTCTGCTCAGCCCCTTCGGATACACCACGTACAGGGGCAGCTGATAAGCCGATAAACCAATTAACGAGCTGTTATCTCACAAGATTATTTTAATACAATTTGGTACATGGCAGATATGTCGCTATTTTGTACTTTCCCTATATTATTTAACTACTTTAATAAAATATAATTCAATTATTTGTGTTTATAATAAATGCGTAACGTACACTTAGATTGTGGAATCTGCCGAAACTTTCTCGAGAGACTACAGCATGGGGTTCTCCAAGAAGTGTATATTAAGGTTTCTTAAAAGTAGGCAACGCGCTCGGGACACCTCTGGTATTTCAGGCGTCCATAGACTACATTAACCGATTACCATCAGATGTTCTCTATGCTTGTTTGCAACCATCGTAGTATAAAAAAACTAACAATTGTTATTTGGTGCCCCAAATAACAATTGTTAGTTTTTTTATACTACACGATATTAGATATGTATATTATATATATTCTATAGGATTGTTAATAATGTGCACTAATGAATCTATTGCAAGCAATAAAAAAATTATATTAAATATCATCAATCATTAATATTATAAACGCGAAAGTTTGTGAGTATGGATGGATGTTTGTTACTCTTTCACGCCAACTACTAAATAGATTTTAATGAAACTTTGCAATAATATAGCTTATACATCAGAATAACATATATAAATTTCACGCGAGTGAAACCGCGTGCAGATCTAGTACAGAATAAATATATTTTTATAAGTCCTTTTCATTATATACCTCCTTTAAAATCAGATTTTCTCTAATTCTCTCTAATAAAAGTTGGTAACCCTAGTGGGGAATGATAAACAGAAAGAAATTGTACTAAAAAATGTATGTATTAATCAGTTATAAATGAAACATAATTCTACAAACAACTATTTACAATATATACTAAATACTAATAAATAATTTATTCTCTCTGACGTACACCTATATTAATATTACTTAACAACAGTTCCATCAAAATGGCGCCAATTTATACTAAAACCACAGACAATATAAATGTAAAACTATAGACACGCCATATTTTAATCTGCATCTGAGTATTATACTAACTATAAACTCATTATAAGTAAATTCATTATATATACAGCTTACAACACAAAATATATACAATTAAAAAAAACAGTCCTTCGCATATTGTATACAAATTTAGTCATAAAATGCATACATAAAAAATGACCTATTTCTTCAAAGGGGCCGTTCAAGTATTACGAAAGCAGATATATTACAATTATTTACCCCCCATCCCCTTGTCATCAAAAGTAAGCAAAGTTCTTACCTCCCCCATGCTTATGTAAAGATTTTTCAATTAAGGTATTGTTATTTTAGCAAAGACAATATGAGGGTTGCCATTCGTATAGTAAAAAAGTAAATAATTACCCATGACGTAGTCATCTAGACTCCCCCACCCCCATGTCATCCAAAATAAGCAAAGCAAACACCCCCCGCCCCTCATAGTGCTTACGTAATACTTGAACAGCCCCAAATATTTTCAGTTAATAAGTTATTTTTGTATGTATAATTACAATACTAAAACCAGCTAACGCCTGATCACACGTGGAGGGGATTGCACTATTAAATCGACCTCCACGCGGTCCCCCTTAGAAATCATAGTGGTTAAGTTCAATAACGTTATTATAGTATTATGGATTGGTATACAATTCACAAGTAACTTTGTATAGAGCAAATACATATATATACAATTAAAGAATTCTAGTTCCTAATATTAAATACAATTGGAAAATAATCTAAATCAGTTGCCTTATATAATTAAGTTTAAATTTACTTGAGCGATGTGTCGGTTGGCCCATACTTTAATATTGATCTAGGACATAAGCTGCCATTGTAATTTCTATTCTATATCCGTCATACTCGTGAACGGATGCTGCTTGTGGTGACTGTTCAGGTTGCAAACACCGATTAGATTTTTTGTTTTTGCAATAATATATGCTGGTGGTCACTCTATTCTCCCAAATTTGAATTTTAATGACTGTGTATTATTGTAAACATGTACAACATTTATTTGAAAAGAATACGAGCTGAGTTTCTTGTCAGTTCTCATCTCGAAATCATTCCGAACTGACGGTAGATTTGACATATCATAAGAGTCTGTAATAGACCTACATGAATAAAGATATTTTGAATTTTGAATACCATTAAACGAAATTAAAACAGCATGTTTCAATTAATTCCTAAACCAGCATGAAAATTGTGTTGTATTAAAGTTGGAATTTTTATAAATGTATGTTAGTCTTCATATAAATGACTTAAAAGACAGAATATTTCATTCACAAGAGGGCACCACTGTTTTTTTAAAAGAGCAAGGCAAAACTCTATCCTCATTATTCTTAGGGGCCGTTCAAGTATTACGTAAGCAGATTTATTACAATTATTTACCCCCCTATCCCCCTTGTCGGCTAAAGTATGCGCTCTTACCCCCTACCCCCATGCTTACGTAAACATTTTTCAATTAATATATTTTTAGCAAAGACAATGTGAGGGTTGCCATTCGCGTAAAAAAGTAAATAACTACCGATGACGTAATCATCACCTAGACTCCCCCACCCCCCATGTTGTCCAAAATTAGCAAAGCAAAGACCCCCATTGTGCTTACATAATACTTGAACGACCCCTTATCTGTATCAGCATCCCAAAGAGTGTTTAAATTATAAAATTACTATTTAAAAATATTTATGTTAAAAATTATTTCTATTTTACGAATAAGTTGCTTGTTGCAAAGAAATCTCATATGAGTGTTGCCATCTAGTATTTAAAATATGTACTAAAATTTCTATTAAGCCAACATTAACTCAGATGGAATGATTTTTCTGGTCTCAAATATATTATAAGATCTATGTGTATATACAATGTACTTATTTCAAATTGACAAACTTATTCAGGCACAATAAGTAGGCTCCATCTATTAAAAGAAAGCTTACAGCAACATCGTTGTTATATCTATTTATAAATGCAAAAACAAGTTACTTATATAAATGTATCTAAAGATATATAAATGTCTTTAATATAAACAGGATCAGTATAAAAGGGTACACCAAATCAAAACTCAGAAAAAAATTAAAATGAACTATCAGAAAGTAGCAAAGTGGATAATTGAGAATGAAAATTCCTAAACTAGCTACTCGCCCCGGCAACGCACGGGTGTACATGTATTATACATATAAACCTTCCTCTTGAATCTCTATCTATTACTGAAAACTGCATTAAAATGCGTACCGTAATCTATACATATAAATGAATTTGGAGTGTCTGTTTGTAATATTAAAATAACCGTTTTTTATTACATGCATATGAATATAAATAAGGTACATACACCAAAATCACATTTTTTTACAATTTTTGTCTGTCTGTCTGTTTATTCCGGTTAATCTCTGAAATGGCTGGACCGATTTTGACGGGACTTTCAACGGCAGGTAGCTGACGTAATAAAGAGTAACTTAGGCTACTTTTATTTTAGAAAAATATGGTTAAATTCCACGCGGACGTAGTCGCGGGTAGAGCTAGTTTTAAACGGAGTAGATTTTGTTTTTATACTATGTAAAGATTTACTTTTAACTTGACTTGTATGTTTTATATCTGATCCTGTATACATTATACTAAATTAGGAGCAATAATCAGTTAGCATATACACATTCAAGTGAAACTTATCGTTCAAACACAGATACTATAAAATATTTTTTAGAAATTTCCAATATCTGAAAAATATTTTGTTTTTTTTATTTGTATAGTGTATTATTAACTATAATAAACATATTACTGTTTAATAGCATACATAAAATAATTTTAAATAATTATAACAATTTTTTTTTAATTCTGACAAGAAATCAACATTGCAATTTTGGACAATGGAATTAAAATCAAACATCTATCTATCTATTTGAGACTATAACACATAATTTATAAGGTAATTTGAGTTATTCATTTTAAACTGATACATATATACAGGGGCGGATCTACCTAAATGCTTTTTGAGCTGTAGCCCAGGGCCCCGAGTTTACAATGGGTCTCCAGTCCCCACTGAAACGATATTTTGAATTTAAAAAAATATCTAGAATGTTAAAAACAATCATAAGGTTGGCAACCCTGAGATCAATCAACCCATGCAAGTCAATCGAAAGGAACGGAGAATTTCTGGTCGCTTGTTTTTGGTTGATGAATTTTTTTAGTGGAGTAATATAATTAGGTACGGCAGGTAGGCCCCTAAGTCGATTCACATTACACCCCTGCATATATATTTGAAAAACATTTTGGACATTTGTGAACATTTCTAAACCGATATATGTATGTATATATATTCCATAAATATTCTATTTCAAGTGCAAACAAAATTATTCTCAATATATTAAATATCTATAAACATGATAGGATAACATTTTTATTACAACAAACTGCATTTGTTGTAGTTCAAATTTTTTTTTTTTAAATAGAATATTTTCCATGTCTACATTCTATCATTGACTTCCATTAGTCGTATCGTAAACATAAATTATTTGTAAAATACAGTAATAATAATATTAATATGTAATTATTATTATTTATTGATTTTTTCATCCAATATATGAACATTTTACATTGCTCCCTGGTACCTAAACTAAGTAAAAGTTTCAGTGATTTATTGTATTAGTTTACTTATAAAAGCTATAACAGAATAGCAGAGTGGGTGGATTCATTGCCTCCTCTGAGTTACAGACCGTTTTGTCTAGTTTATTAATAATAATAATAATCTCAGGACAATTCCACCACCTCTAGACCCAAGTTAAACTAGCTAAAGCTTTTGTTATGGGTACTAGACTACTGATACAAATACATAGATTTTTTTTCGTAATTACATATTATACATAGAAAACACCCAGACGGATACAAACAATCATACTCATGAATACAAATGTTTGTGCCGTGCGGGGAATCGAACCCCCGACCATCGGAAGTAAGGCGGTGTGCTAAACATCTGGACCACAGAGGCCGTTTATTATTTCAAATATTTTAATAAGTTTTTATTTGTGACAAATAAGATGATTATTATTATTAATTAATTATTATTTAGACAGTTAAGATAACATGCAATACATTATGTCTTCATGTGCAGATGTATTTATAAATAATCAATTATGAACTCTACCACTAGATGGCGTTGTTTAGTTTTATACATTGTTCTACATCTCGCTATTAAGTTTTCTTTTTAAGTAGGTATAAGTATTTTGATAATTATTAACCTAATCAAAATACACCCTTGGTGATCCGTGGATAAACTTATTCAGCATGTACTAAACTTACATTAAACTTATATATAAGCTAAAGATGCAACTTTACAATGATTGGCACTGGTCCGGATGCTGGCGGGACTCTGTAATGTAAATGGTCACATTTATCAGTAAAACATCACATCATCACATTATCACCGTTTCTTCATCACAATCACTAAGTTTATCACAGTTTTATCACAGCTTGATATGTGTCCGATTAATGTCTATATCCATTCGGTCTGCTGGAACTTCAGCCTGTTGGGGATTGTATCTTGGGCCTATGTAGTTAAGGTCTGATATTCAGTGGCAGACTACCATGAGGTTACCAATCAAGATTCTCTACTTCTCTATGAAACGAGGTTGAAAATGAAAGTTAAGTCGTTTTAGAAACATTATAAAACGCGATAGAAGAGTTTACAGCTAATTTTGAACATGTTCTTACTATCAATATATACATATTACTTTTAAAACGAATCAGTTGAGTTCCTTACCAGTTCTTCTCAATTGAATCAGTATACTGAGTTCATAAGCGGCTAAAATTCCTAAATTATTTTTGATTTAATTTAGTTAATTGTTATATACTATAATCATAAGACTAGTTATTATTTTGAGAATACGAATTAAAACATCCGGCCGGACGTAAGCCAAATGGTTAACGGATATTATTGTTACCTACATTAATAGAACAATGGTCTGAAAACTATTGACTCCAAAATCTGAGAATTCAAAGACGTGTACCCAGTTCTCACTATAACAAATACAGTACACGTTTTTTTTTTCAGAATTACTGTACAATTTTCGCAATGTTTAAGTAATAAATAATAATAATAATAATCTCAGGACAATTCACACAGCGCCATCTATACCCAAGTTAAACTATCTAAAGGTTGTGTTATGGGTACTAGATAACTGATACAAGTACAAAGATAATTTTTTGTTTTGTAAATACATACATATTATACATAGAAAATACCCAGACCGATACAAACAATCATACTCATGAATACAAATGCTTGTGCCGTGCGAGGAATCGAACCCGCGACCATCGGACGTAAAGCGGTGTGCTAGATCTAGACCGCTAGACCACCGAGGTCGTCAATAATAAAATATTAACCTTACTCTTTTATAATATTGTAAACGCGGAAGTTTGAGTGTGGATGGATATTTGTTACTCTTTCACGCAAAAACTACTGAACGGATTTTAATGAAACTTTACAATAATACAGCTTATGCATCAGAATAACTGGCTATAAATGTAAAGCGAGTGAAACCGCAGACACAGCTAGTACTTGTTAAGTTTAAAAATATCATTACCTTGTAATTTTGTTTTTAATATATATATTTCCAGTCCTAGTTTCTAGATTTATAATTTTTGATTATTCAAATATTTCTAAAACTAAATTGTAGGTCATATAAATCTAAACTAATATGATGAGAAAATATCCTTTTTTATATGGGATAAATTGAAAACATGCCTAACGGATCTGAAACTCTTCATATAGAAAGTTACTATATAAGTCAGTAATCTGGTTATATACTATTTAAAATTAAAATTCCGACAATAGTAACACCCGAGAGAGGTCGGGACGGGTATCTAGTGTATAATATTCCCTGTAGTCTGCCATTGGATAATAAATACAAAAGGAAAGCTGTAAAGATACAAAAAAATGCACAAAAATATTGGACATCAAACTTTTTTGGCAACAAAGATATATATGTAGACTCACCTGTGGAGAAGAATAATTAGAGAACAATTTATTATTATTATTTAATACTTACCATGTATGAGCTGGTATAATGGTATGCTGACCCCTAGGTAGGCTCCGCGTATCTATTGTAGTAAAATCAGAATCAGACTGTTAGACAAGTTATGGCAGATATAATAACCATGGTCACCTTGCTAAATTGTACAGTTACCTTCCTATAGTGTAACAAATAAATAAATAAATAAAATAAAATACCACATATGTATTAACATAGTAGATTCCAGAGACAATTATGTGTAACAAAACACATAATATACTAGAAATATCTGAATAGGACAGCTAATTCTTGTATATATTTAATTAATACCTATAAACACATTTATATCACAGTTTAAGAGTATTGGCATAAAGCAACAAAAATATTTATAAAAAAAAAGATTATGATATATTAATAATCATTCCTATTATCACATTTAATTAATTAAATAACAAAAGAATGATTCAATTATATTTTTAGGTAATAAATCATTGTTGATAATTCCCCTTGAATTTATTTATTTACATCCTCAAAAATCTAAATAAACAATAATTCTTGTACCATCCAAAATATTATACATGTCATATAAAGACTTATAATTTCAGATAATACATATCCATATAGATATATATCCATATATAGATACATTTATAATCCAGGGAGCACTGGATTATAAATGTATAGAATTGTCATATTTTTTTTAGTTTTGGATGTTTTTTACGAACATATACAGAGTTATGGGGGTGTTTGGAGAAACTTGAAGCATCTGGGAATTGGACCAGCTCCTCGAGGCACTGGCTTACTGCATAGGAAGGGATTACCCTGATATATAGTATAATAGACAACAGAGATTAAGTGCGTAACGGTTTCTATGTTGATTATCACATGCCTAATCCTTGTTGTTAATTAAATATAAGTAAATCAATATTTAAAAGAGCAACACACAAGTTTCTTGCTCATTCTTCTTGTGATGAGTCTGCATTCCGAATGAGCGGTAGAATAAAAAACTTGACTATTCAAAAGTGCTTATATTAAGTTTATTTGAATAAAGATTATTTCTATTTCTATTTCTAATATAGACCCTGATTATTAGATTCTTTACATCTGAGTGTTATCATTATTTATATAGTTATTAACAATTTACTAACCTTGAAATCCCAACCTGTGAATAAAAGGATTAGCATCAAATAAAGAATGTAGCTCACCTATTTCCCTTCCTCTTGGCCAACAACTTCTTTGTAGCGAGCAATCATAAGTTTCTTCACAGTGTCTCTGTATGTTTCCCCAGGTGTGGGAGTGTATATCCCTCTCTTCTGGCCGAGGCCGGCCAAGCTTGGTCTCTGTTCAGCTTCAATAGGTGCTATTCTGCCTTGTTCCTCTTTTCCTAAGCCTCTGCCTTCAGACCAACCCATTTTCTGCAACATCTTTCCTCCAATGGTATCCACAACTGATGGAGGAGGATGAGGAGGCAAAGCAGCATGCACTACCATATCTGGAGGGTCATACCGTCTCCTAACTGGAGTCTCATCCTCACCAAACTTCATCCTCCTTTCCGCAGCCCTATCTCTATAACCATTTGTCTGTGGTAACAAATCATTCTTCTTCTGATATTCTGCTAAGTTCTGCTTGTGTAGGTCTGATAGAGTTTTGTGCTTCGTTAACACTTCAACGGAAGGGAAACGGCGCTTACATAGTAGACAAGTTAGTTTGGACCAATCAATAATACCATCATCATTGTCAAATGTAGATTCGGAAACTTTTTTAAGTAAAAAGTCATCTGTGGAGACTGGTGGAGGGGAGAGTTCCCTAACGTGGGTAGTTATCGTTGGTCCAGCTCCTAATACTGAAAAGCCTATATCAGCTGAACCCTTACTAGCACCAGTGTCCAGTGGTTGTTCCATAACAATATTGCTGCGAGCATTCTCTTTTTTCTGGTTCAAAGTTCGCGCCCATCTCTCCATATCTTTTGCTATCTTTTTAGCAACTTTCACTTTGTCCTCCTTATCTTTCTTTTTCTTTTCCTCAGGCTGTTCTTTAGTTATTGTGTTTTCTGATGTAGCTTGAGGCGGATTAGGCAATTTTGGCTGATCTGTATTCTGTTGGGACTGGGTCGCAGCAATATAGGTGGATGTTGTAGCATCCCAATACATGTACTGAGACAGCTGGCTGTTGAAGAAGTACTGTGTATTACCGTCGTAGTACAACCCGGTGGCTGGATCATAATAGTACCCAGAGCTTTCATCATACAAGAAGGTCCTCACATCAGGTGGAGTGTACACAGTTTTTCCATCACCTGTTGGTACTTTTACAGAAGGAACTGTTTGTACAGAGGATCCCACAAATGTGGGTACGGACACCGGTGTCCAGGACATTTGCCGAGCTTGAGCAGCCGATATAGCAGACTGTGCCACAGCAGCGGCAGCATTCACTCTGTCAGCTTCGGATAAAGCATGTGATGTGGAACCATAGTTTGTCATTTGTGCATAATATGTTGAGTAATCAGAATTCTGGGACTTCTGCCACTTCTTGGGCTCATTGTAGAATGTAATCAATACCTCCCGCCCATCGATTTCTAATGGAGGATGCAAAGCTAACAACTCACTATGTGCCGCAGTGGAATCAGCGATGGAATTGAAATTAATATATGCAAGACATTTAGAAGCACCCGTCAATGTTTCCCTACCGATAGTTATGCCAGCTATGGAATCTAGGACAGACTTGGAGCACCTTTCTTTGATTTCGTCCAAAATCTTTTCCTCAGTAGTTAAGGCATCTAACCTTCGGAACAACAGCCGTTTCGTAATCCCCGCACCATCCAGTGCGTCATTCCTCTCTGTCTCACCATTGAACACTATCCCGTCCGACCTCTTCCCTTGACAGTTTCGTCTGTAGCAGATCTGTCTCCGCTTGAAGTTGTACAACCCACACTTGCAGAACCAGTCGCCCGGGGAAGCGTTCACAGAGTTCTGATCGTCCTTCTCTTTCGACTCGCGGTCGTCGTGGACCGGCCGCTCCCTACTACGCGATCGGCTGCCGGAACGCGATCTGTCGTCCTTCTCCCCGCTTATGTTGGGCGGCGTGGGCGGCTGAGGCACGTCCTTGTCTTTGTCGTCGAAGTGGCGGCGCGGCGACCGACGCCGCTCCCGGTCGCGCCGGTCGTACCGCTCGCGACCGCGGTACCGGTCGGAGTCGCGGTCGTGCCGGTCGGAGTCGCGGTCGTACCGGTCGGAGTCGCGGTCGTACCGGTCGTGTCGGTCGCGGTCGTGTCGGTCGCGGTCGTGGCGGTCGCGGCGGTCGCGGGGCGACCTGCGCCCGGGGGAGGCGCTGCGGCGCGGCTCCCACACGACGGAGCGGCTGCGGCCGTCGGACCAGCGCGTGTCGTGCTCGTTCCACCGCGAGGTGCGGTCGTCGCGGCCTCGCCACGACATACCTGCCTGTGAACATCGACACCATGAAATCGTTACTCACGGACGCCGCGCTGTCGCCCCGCCTTCGATGTCGGCCTATATTGACGATCGATGACCTCTCTCCACCTTTTTGTTTACCTGATCGCTTTACTGGCTCGAAATGCGACTAAATCTTCGAAATGTAAACTTTGATAACACTTTTTTACACTTTTGAATATTTAAAACTACAAAACGATACTAAATATGTCTAAATACTGCGTTTAATTTAATAAGAAAAAGACGCCATTCTACCATTTATGATTTTTACTTTTTAATATGACTCCTGAGTAGCCACTTCATAAAAAATATTTACCCCTAAAGATATGAAGTTCTCCTAATTAAAAATATATTACAGTATAATTTCTAATAAAATGAAAAATTGATGCAACTACTAACTAAAAAATAAAATGAAAGCATAAAATATTTGCATTAGTTATTAGTAATTTGCCCAGTGTTGTATCGTGTCGTGTAAATACAATTATATCAATTCTGACATTGGCGCTTAATTATTAAAATTAAATTGATAGTAGACCTGATATGTTATGCTTTGGGTATTTATTACTACTATATATTGTGTTATATTGAGTAAATTTTTCATTAATATTCCGCGTAAAATTACCCCATACCATAGCAGTGTAATTGTTCATTCCCTTTGTTTAAGGGTAATATGGTATGTGACATAGAACACTAATACTACGTCATAAAGTTTGATTGATTGGCGGGCTTTTCGAAGAAATAGGCGCGAATTGAATAGTTCTCAAAAAATATTTATATTTATTGCTAGTTTCACTGCAAATAGTTTATTTTTCCTTATATAGATAATAATTACGTCGTATATAGTTGTTAAATACCTATCTTAGAATCATGCCTGAGGGGGACGGTGACGTCCCGCCTCCGGGCCGAAAAACTGCAAGGAGACAAGATACCTCCTCAGATGATTACTATAAACCTTACATAAAACCTGGTTATAAGAGAATCTTTCCAGAAAACACAATGGTGAGTGGCGAATACACCGTATTTATCACAAGCTCCATTGGAGAAAAAATTGGAAACCAAAATCCACTGGTGATGGCCAATCTATTTAAGAATGATGTCAAGGGCGTGCTTAATATTAAGCGCATTAATGCAACTAAAGTCGGTGTAACATTTAAACAAGTAAATAATGCGAATAATTTTTTGAACAATGAGGACTTTCTCAATAAGCACAACTATCATGCACACATTCCAGCAGCAGCTGTGGAAACAATTGGAGTGCTCAGGTTTGTACCCACAAGTATAAGCAATGAAGAGCTGTTTAAAAAGCTTACCTGTCCGTATGAGATCATAAGTGTAAATAGGTTTACAAAAAAAGTAGACGGAGAAGTTAAACCGTTTGGTTCAGTTAGATTGACTTTTTTGTCTGGAAGTCTTCCAGACTATGTGTATTTAGATATCTTTAGATATAGAGTATATGAATATATGGCTCCTCTTTTACAATGCTATAAATGTTTCAAATTTAACCATGGCGCAAAGTTTTGTAAATCTGCTCAAAAGTGTTCAATATGTGCAGGTGATCATCACTATTCTGAATGTAAAGCAGAAACGATTAAACAATGTATTAACTGTGGAGGTCAGCACCTTGCTATCTCTCGAGATTGTCCTGTTAAAAAGTATAAAATGGAGGAAAAAAACAATAAAATTAAATATGCTCAAGCTGTGAATTTTAAAAATGTTGACCCAAACAATATTACAAAAAACTATGACACTAACTTCCCCACATTACGTTCTAGTTCTAGAAACAATAATAATACTCAAGTCAAAATAAATAATAAATCATCTACGGAAAAATCCCCATTACCAAGTACACAAGATGAAAATAAAGAACTAATTGAAAAAATTCTTAAAAGTGATCATGTACTAAACGGTCTTATTGGAGCATTAGTCTCCTTAGGAAATGATAGCAGGGCACTGACATCCTCAGTTATTAAGGACATATTAATAAAAAGTCTTAAAAGTGATTAAGTCATTTATTAGAATATCTCAATTCAATATACAAAGTATGTATAATAAAAAACCTTTACTTATTAATTATATTCATGAGAATTATATAGATATTTGCTTACTAAATGAAACATGGTTGAGAGAGAATTGCCACTTTAACATGCCTGGTTATAACTATGTAAGTCAAAATGGTATAGGTGGATATGGAGGTGTAGGTATATTAATAAAAAACGATTTTAAATATACAATTGTTCCCACACCTTTTTATGACTTTATGCAATCTGTAGCTATAATATTAAAAACACAATTAGGTAACCTATCTATATTATGTACATATTGTCCCCCACCAAAAAGTGGTAGAGGCCGTTTTATAGTTAATAAACTTAAACAAATACTACAAAGGCTTCCTAAACCAGTAATGCTGGCAGGTGATCTAAATGCTCATCATGTAGCCTTTGGCTGTAACAATACTAACAGTAGAGGCACTGAAATTTATAATATGTGTGATGAATTTGATCTATGCATATTAAACACAGGTTCTCCAACTACAGTTGGTACTTCTACTCATCAACCGTCTGCAATAGATATTTCTGTTATTAGTGCATCTGTAGCACCATTATGCGAATGGAGAGTCCATGACGATCCAATGGGCAGTTACCATTATCCTACTATTATTGATATCCAAACATCTATAGAAAAATATGATATAGGACTTCCCACAGAACAGTATATTTATTCTAAAGCAGATTGGTCCAAGTTTCATTCTGAATCTGAAAAGGCATTTAATAGTATTATATTAGATCAAGATAATCCATTAGCCAGTTACAACCTATTTATTGACACTATAGAAAAAATTAAATACAACTGTATTCCGAAAATAAAGAAAACATCTCATTATATATATAAAAAACCAGTACCATGGTGGGATGATGAGTGTAAAGACATGGTCAAAAATAGTAAACAAGCATTAAATTATTATAGAACTAACCCCACAATAGAAAATTACATTAATTATAAAAAAGTAGATGCTTTAAAGAAAAAAATGTTAAGTATAAAAAAGAAAGAAAGTTGGAAAAAACTGTGTGAGTCTTTTAATAGATATACGCCTGTTAGTATTATTTGGAATTATATTAAAAAATTTAAATACATACCTGTACATAAATCCCCAAAAAATGATGAATGGATACCATCATTTATTGAAAAATATGCTCCATTGTCCCCTCCTGAAAAGCAGATTGACAATATATCACTTAACAGTATATTTAAAAAAATTGGAAATGTAAACTGTCAGTTTCTTTCTCAACCATTTTCATTCCTTGAATTTGAAACAGCACTACAGTCCCGAAAGGACACTGCACCTGGATTGGATGATTTACCATATAAAGTGGTTAGATATTTACATATAAATGCAAAAAAATTACTCCTTGATATTTTCAATTTGCTATGGCATTGTCAACATATACCACAAACATGGAAAACACAATGTGTAATACCAATACTAAAACAGGACAAGCCACCAGACGATTACAATTCCTATAGACCTATTTCCTTATCATCATGTATTGGCAAACTATTCGAGCACATGCTCAAAACAAGATTAGATTTTTATGTAGAAAAGAATAACATTTTACCTTCTCAACAATTTGGTTTCCGGAAAGGCAGGAGCGCTGCTGAAAGTTTTACTGCCTTAATTGCAGATATAAAAAATTCTTTCCATAGCCATTCCTTTACAGTATGTGCTTTCTTAGATATCCAGGGTGCATTTGATAATGTTGACCCTTCAATCATGATTCACATTCTTGATGATATTGGCATACCAGGCAAAGTCTGTAAATGGATATTTAATTTTCTTTATGAGAGAACTATGTATGTAAAATACAACAACATAATTCATGGACCTAGATATGTTTATAAGGGCACTATGCAAGGTGCTACTATTTCTCCTTTGTTGTATAACTTGTACACTTGTCAAATCAATAATTATTTGACACAAAATAATAATAATATAAATTTTTTACAGTTTGCTGATGATTTGCTTGTATATAGTGTTAATAATAATGTAACTATTGCTGTAAATAATTTAAATATTGCATTAAAACAAATTTGTGATTACTATCATAATAAATTAAAATTAATTATAAGTCCCAGTAAAAGTGGAGCATTAATATTTTCAAAAAAGAGTCACAATTGTTCACAACCTATTTTATATAATAACATTTTGCTGCCATGGATTCAGGAAAAAAAGTTTCTTGGAATACATTTAGATCAAAAATTATCTTTCAACAATCACATAAATAATATTATAAAATCTGCATGTAAAGGTCTTAATATACTGAAAGCCCTGGCTGGAGTTCACTGGGGTTCTGATCCTCGCACATTGTCTATGTTATATAAGAGTATAGTTAGAAGCCATTTTGACTACAGCTCCCTAGCATATATGAATACAAACCCAACTTTACTACGAAAACTTGACATTATACAAAATAAAGCATTAAGAATAATTACAGGAGCGATGTGTTCAACACCCATACATATTATGGAGTGTGAAGCGAATACCCCCCCTTTAATATTAAGACGCTTACAAATAGCAGAGAAATTTTGTTTAAAGCTTATTTCTTCTAATAATAATAATGTCTTGGATAGAATCATACCTCCCAAAGTTGTTGAATCAGTTACACCAGGCCCTTATGTAGACTTTAACCGACTTTTATCTGGTTATTTACCTGAAATATTAAGAATTGTTTTGCATATTCATTCTCAAACTGTAAATATATATAAAAGTAAAATTTGGCCTTTGTATCATATAAATTATGATGCACTTATAAATAATAACATATCAATATATATAGATAATAATATCTGTAATGCTGATATATATAAGATAAATGAAAATATGGCTTCTTATAGAATATACACAGATGGTTCAAAAACTTCTGATAATGTTAAATCAGCATATTATGACCCACAACTTAAATTAACAAAATGTTTTAAAATAGATAACAATTGTAGTATATTTACTGCTGAATGTTATGCTATATATGCAGCATTACAGCATATAAATAATATAAATGATGTAAATTTTATGATAATAACGGATTCGCAAAGTGCTTTAAAAGCTCTACAAAATATATCTCTTAGATATAATTTAAACTATTTATTGTATAATATCAGACAAAATATTTATGATCTGAAAAACAACGGTAAGCAGGTAACATTCTTGTGGGTACCTGGTCATAAAGGAATTGCTGGAAATGAAATAGCGGATCAAGCTGCTCGGAATGTTCATAATGAAGACCACTCGAATATGTTTAAAGTTTCATTCACCGACTATTATAGCTCACTTAAAAATGCTCTAAAATTATTATGGAATAACTATTACATAAATATTGCTAACGATAAGGGAAAATGGTATGCCAAGATCCAAGGAACCCTGCCCGCCAAACCTTGGTACCACAACAATAAAGACGTCGACAGCAGACAATTTATCACGACTATTAATCGTATGAGATTTGGTCATAATCAAACTCGCACTCACCTATACAGAATGAAAATGGTTCACAACCCAAAATGTCCTCACTGCAATGAAGACGAAGATTTGAATCATATTATATTCAAATGTAGAAAATACGGACTCGACAGATTATTACTCATTCACGAGATTCAAGAGCATATTAATGAAGTACCGAAGTCTCTAGAAGAGATCTTATCAAGGCCTGCACTATACAAGATTTTATATAAATTTATTTCTAACACTGGGAAGAAATTATAATTTTTTTTTAGGTTTTGTATCTTATGTTGGGCTAAAAAGGACTTGTATCCAGAGCCGTAAAATATTAAATAAAAAAAAAAAAAAAAGTCATAAAGTTTTGACAGTTTGTTTTAGTGCTGTGGACATCAATTATAATTTATATCGATTTTGATTGCTTTTCCAAGTGAAGAGTAACAATGTAAATGTTTTAAGGATTCGACTTATGGAAAATTTTCAACTGTAAATATTGCTAGAAGCCAACTTAAATTTGTAGTTCAAAATTTATAATGATTTATCCACGCCCAAATGTGCGTATTTGTGTGTTTAAAATTTTGTAGACAGCAAATCGCATTTGAAACTGTATTTATATTTAATATTAATAATATTTTTAAGTGCTGAATGACTTAAATATTATATATTTTACAAGATAAGGAATAGAATAATAAAAGTTAGTTGATATTAATTCAATGTTGTTTTTATTGTATTAACTTAGGCTGTTGATCCAACACCATTCCTCACCTCAAAGTCACAGTTAATAAGATAATATTATCAAATAAATCCCAGTAGAACCGTATTCCCGACACGTAATTCGCAGCACTGAGCAAATAATCACTACGTTTATAACCTATGTAGGTTATTACATGTAGTTTGTCTCCTCTTCTAGTCTAACCACAAGCTATATAGAGATGCTAGTCTAACCTAATAGGAATAAACAAATGTAACATCAATACAATTCCAGGTTCTTGCCGCTATGAATCAAGTCGGTCAGTTTTTGCTTGGCCTCAATTAAAAAAAAGAAATGAAACTAGGAAATAAAACATTTTTTTTATTTCTTTTGAATATATTTTTTAAACAAATATCTTTTCAGGAGTGCTTATGCAAAGAATATATTCTAATAATAATAATTATGACTTTGTCATAATTTTTCTACTAATTTAAAACATATAAATGATGATACTATGCAAAATTAACTACCTAATTAAAAATATAATTTCAAGAATAAACATATTCAAGTAAAACATTTGCTCTAGTACTTGTAAATATTATGAATTTCTGAATAGAACTTTACAACATAACATCATTATCACTAATTTAGAATTATTTGTACATACATTTTATAACGATTGAGCCTTTTATGTGTCTAATGTTCTAGCAATTCTAAGCATCTTAAAATTCCCATTACAGATAGCAACCTGAACATAGTAAAACAACAATAAATTTAATCAGTAAAGACGTTTTTATAAACATATATTAAAATAATACTTCGAATGTATTTCAGCTACATAAAACGTATCACGAAACGTACAAACTTGATTAAATATATTGAGTCATTTTTTTCACGATGTACCTAATGCAATTATTGGTATACCTACTCCTTGACTACAACAAAGTAACGTAACATCACTAGTAATACTAATAATAATGAATCAATATAAAGATGGCTACCTAAATGAGATTATACATAGATTAAAAGTAAAAATCAGGCAGACGTACTATCAAATTAAAATTTATAAAATCCTAATGTGTCAATGTCAAATCCTTTTGCTTTATACTTTACAAGTTACCCGCCCCGGCTTCGCACGGATGTACATGTATTATACATATAAACCTTCCTCTTGAATCACTCTTATCTATTGCTAAGAAATGCATTAAAATCCGTTGCGTAGTTTAAGGCGAACAGACTGCGGTAGATATTTCATTTTATAATTTATAAAGCAACCTGCTATTAACAAGCACAAACAATAATTTAACATCACATTAATTCATCAAATTCTACTTACATTAAAAATAAGACGAATTTTAAAAATTATAGTCAGATATTATTACAAAATAGACAATAATTTTATTATTTCATAAAGTCGAACATCGATCCATCCATCAGTAGCTATAATCCTTGACTCCACAATCAGTGGAGTAACTACACCGTTAGAGGCTCTTAGTAAATTCATCGGACGCCTAATATAAGCCGAATATAAAGAAGCTGTAACACAGGGAAGGCCTAGCACAGATTTATTAGAGACAAAAAACTTTTTATTTATAAAAAGGCATTGAACATTTAATACATTTCTTTGATTCGTGTATGCAACTAAGTAGGTAACCTAAATAAATTAAAGACAAAACATTTTTTTTTATTAAGTGAGTACGGACTGGGTTTCCTTTACGGCTGGGGGTCCGTAGCATTTTGCCGACTTGCCACCCTGTAGTTACGCCACTGGCCACAAATATAAGCGTTGAAATATAGATATGATGACAGCATTGTTATGGTATCCTTATTTCGTGTACAAATATCGTAAACAGTCTTGAATTAAGCAGCTCTATTACTAACAGTTTTATTTGAAATAAATTAAATTTTTACTATTACTATATACTTTATATTTTTATTATTTTTTTGTGTTTACATGAAACGTGGGATACACGTTTCATGTAAACACAAAACTAATAACAAAAATAATATGTATTTAATTATTTAAGTATATGTATAGTATTTCCTGCTATTTATTATTTTATATTTATATATTTTAAATTAGGGGATGAAAATTTGGAAATTAGTCATTTTTTAAGCTATAACGTCGAAATTTTTTCTTCAAGCTTATTGGAGTATTTATACGTGTCTTATTAATAAAATAATTAGCTTAAATAATTAAAAATACTATGCAATGTCACGACTAGTAGTCCATAAAAATATTACAAAGCAAGCTGCTTGGCGGCAGAAATAGGTGATATATAGCCACGCAGACAGAAAGTCTGACTGGATAGTTAAAATGTTAATAATTAAATGCAAACAATGCTACCAACATCTACATATCAACGTAATTTACCCACGGATTTCACTGTATTCACACCCACATACGTAATATGGTACTTATATTTATTTATATACATCAACATGTTTACAATAGTTTCCTTCATGGTCGATTAATATATCCCGGATGAATAAAACAAATAATAAATAACCCTGGACAATTAACACAGCGCCATCTAGTCCCAAGTTAATCCGAGCTTGTGATATAGATAATAGACGACTGATATAAATACATAAATACTTTTTTTATATACATGATATACATAGAGAACACCCAGACAGATGTAAACAATCATAGTCACGAATATAAAAGTTTGCACCGTGCGAGGAATCGAACCCGCGACCATTGGAAGCAAACTGCTACACTACTGAAACCGTCATATGCCTACATACTGTAAATTTATGATATTTAAGTCCACGGAATGTAATCTACAATACATACATATATTGAAGCGAAGCTCTCAACAATATGAACATATTCGTGTTATGTACAATTAGAAAAAAAACACGGGATCTTACCACGTACCAGAGTGATATGCTGGTGGCATATGCTATTACAATTAATAATCTGTTCCGTCATACTCGTGAACGGGTGCGGCTTATGGGGACTGGTCTGTTCGGGTTATGAACGCTGATTAGACGATTTGCTTTTGCAATAGCATATGCTGGTGGTCACTCTATTCTCCCAAATTTGAATTTTAATGACTGTGTATTATTGTAAACATGTACAACATTTATTTGAAAAGAATACGAGCTGAGTTTCTTGTCAGCTCTTCTGATCTCGAAATAATTCCGTACTGTCGGTAGATTTGCCATATCATAAGAGTCTGTAATAGACCTACATGAATTTATTTTCGACCTAGTTTCCACTCCAGACTCACAAAGAAATAACTTGTAAGTTTAAATATAATTTTTTCATATTGTAAGTTTCCTTGTGAGCAGAGAGATAAAGATTATTATTAATTATTTTTATTGAGTACCTGATATTTAGGCAGTGTTTCAACTGCCATAATCACGGGTAAACTGAAGAATCTTTTATGGACATTTTTATATTCAATAGTAGCAACTAACGAAGACATGTGAAGGTAGACGAATATGTCTGCTCTTCAGTTAATCCTTGACCATGGCGGTTGAAACTGCCGAAATATCGGGAAGACACTAAAAATAAACGTGGTAAGATCCCGTGATTTTTCCTAATTGTACGTTTACATGTTTGTATTAATTTAACCCAAGTTTAACCCACGTTTTGTTTTAATCCTTTCTACCAGTTAGCAGATGTTCTCGCAGTGTAGTTATTTCTCGTTCTATATTTTCCCTCGCGGCCGCTTCAAAGCACTCAAATTCAGGTGTGTGGAAGAGTTTCGGGATTTGTGAAAATTGATTAAGTATCTGCAACAGTAAAAAGGAATAGTTAGTAATATAACTTCACGACTGTTATCTTAGATGGCACATACAGAGGTATTCATATAATTATGTATTTATAAATAGAAAATTGACCGACGATCTGGTCAAGATCGCTGGAAGGCATTGGATGACAGCAGCGCAGGACCGATCGTCGTGGAGATCTTTGGGGGAGGCCTATATCCAGCAGTGGACGTCTTCCGGGCTGCGATGAGGATGAAATCGAAAGTTATTTACAGATATCAAATTCTTGAGCATTTTCACCCTGCGGAGGCGTGACTCTGTATGCTATAATATTTCCGAACCGATACAATATTGAAACCTTCAAGAAATGAGCTTATTCCTTTTTAAAAGGCCGACAACGTACTTGCAATACCCCTGGTGTTGCGGGTGCTCCTGGGCGGCGGTAATCACTTACCATCACAACATTGTTTGTCTTCATCCTATAAAAAAAGCTTTCAAAGCTAATTTGCGTGTAATTTTGCAGTTGTTTTGTAGTAGACAGTCGACACAAAAAAAAAACAAAGATACAGGGTGCTATAGGTTGTAACTATTTTGTATTAAAAAAATCTGGGGTATAGTTTGCAAGTTGCTTAATACTTTAGACTGCTGCCCCTCCCTGACCCCATAACTGGCTACGGCCATTCATCCTCACTTGAATGGGTACGGTCTACGGTCATTCATCTATCCATACATACTCACAAACTTTCAGGTTTATAATATTGGTATGGTTATCTCAAAGTACCTTGATTCGTAGTTCAACATAATTGTCATGTGTTAGTGTGGAGTACTCAGCCCGTACTAGTTTGGCGTGAGCATCGTATTCTTCCCTTGAGGCGGCCAGCACCGCCAGCTCGCAATCTCCAAACAGCTGCAGGTCTCGGAGCGGCGCGGGACCTATCGGAGCTGACGGTGATGTCTCACGACCGCAGTTTCCACACCACTGAGCCTCGTCATCCGTCAGTAAAGCCAGCACGTATGATGTCAGGTCTTGCTATCAATGGTAGATAACAGTAAAATATAAATAAACTATCTTATAAAAAAAATCAAATTCAAAATATCTTTTTATTTTTATATATAGCTATTTCCCGCGAATTCGTCTCTTTGTTTAGTCGATATATAGTCTATGTAATAATATATTTTCACGCCAAATTGATATTGCTTCATCATTATGGAAAAAAGGGTTGTGAAAAAAGCGGTTGAAAGTGGCACCGGTGTCAGAGAGGTTGAAGAGTAATCGTCTATCATGGTATGGACATGTAATGCGTAGGAATGAGGATAATATTTTAAGGTGTTACATATGAATCTGGATGGTTATAAGGGCAGAGGAACGCCGAAAAAGAGATGGATGGACTGTGTGAAAGATGATATGGTAAGAAAGGAAGTAAATAACGCGATGACTGCGAACAGGGATGAATGGAAGCGAAAAACATATTACGCCGACCACAAATAATTGGGATAAGGAAGAAGCAGATGATGAAGCGGTTGAAAGGGGAAATGAAAGGTAGTAAGGAAGTATCGTCATTTTTAAAGCTAGAAGCTAGAAACTTACTGCTTAGGCTGTTGATTAAACATAAATATGACATTTGTTGCGGGTGAATGATACGATGTTGTTGGTCGAGACGATGTATATTACAGATGATAATAAACTGACAATATGTACATAGAAATAATGATCTTATATACTAAATGACAATAGGAAAATGTAAGGTGGGGTGACACAGTTTAGACACAGCAGTGCCTAGTAGACAATATTGAATTTGTCTTACTAGACATTATTAAATGCAATTATTATTTTGATGTATCTAGGTGACTGTGTGACTGTAGTGACTGACAAATTTTGTAAGGACATACAACACTTTTGAAGCTACAATGATGAAAATTTTTTCTTTGACTTTTTAGGTTACATTATTAAATATGTTTTCTTTATTTGGTCAACGTCACTATTCCACGCGGACGATGTAGATACAGCTACTTAATCATATAGCAATAAAACTGCTATTATTCGAGATCGTCTTGTATTTCTCATAAACATCTTAATCTTAATATAATATATATTATAAATGCGAAAGTTTGTAAGTACAGGTGTTTGTTACTCTTTCACGCAAAAACTACTAAACGGATTTTGATGAAACCTTACAGTAATATAGCTTATGCATCAGAATAATACATAGGATATATTTTATATTGAAATTTAACGTGGATGAAATCACGGGCACAGCTGGTATGCATATCTATATCAGTACTAACAGATTGTGGATGCAGGCGTAGCAAGTCGGCTAACAACCTGACGACCAGCTCTGAGGGTGTGTGCCTCAAAACAATAGCCAGTTTGAAAGCCGCCGGTTGGATCACGTCGTCTATCCCTTTCGCTAACAAGTTCTGCCACACTCCTGCCTGTAACACGTCAATGTACAACAAACATTACAATTATATCGTTGTTTAATATTTTAGAATTTGCTCAGGGTGAGAGGAAACTTGTTTACTGAACGTGTGTGAGCTGAGAAATGTTTGGGTAATATAGATATTGTTGTATTTATACTAGGGTTGCCAACCTTAAAAAAAAATTATAAATCAGAACATACATCTTTTTAATTAACATAATTTGGAATGTTCTCAACCGTATACATTGCATACACCGACAGCTTTGGTGGTCTAGCGGTTTAGATAGATAGATAGATCATTCATTTACGAAACATGAGCTTCACTAAAAAACAGTAAGTGCAAAAAATGCAACTGAGAAACGCAAATAATTTAATATTAAGGCCACAGAGAACTACGACAGAAAAACTATTGTATGTGAAGGCGCACAGATTTATAATATACTCCCCAAAGACATTAAACAATCGCAATCAATAATTATATTAAAAAATTATTGAAACACTATATAATGAACCACTATTAGTAATCTCAGAAAATATGTCACTATAGATACATAGAGTGTTTTTCTTATAATTGTTTTATTTTTATTTGTAAATATCTAAAACCTAAGAAAAAAAACATTTATTGCCAACATAACACTACTAATTACAAATACTACACAAAATAAGAAATAGAAAATAACATACAAAGTTGGCAATAGGAGCTGCCTCAGCTATTATTGATATACGTACAATCTCAATCATCATCATCATTTTATAGTTTAGTATACTGATGGTCGTGGGTTCGACTCCTCGCACGGCGCACAAACATTTGTATTCATGAGTATGATTGTTTGTATCGATCTGGGTGTTTTCTATGTACATTATGTATTTCCAAAAAAAATATCTAAGTATTTATATCAGTAAGCAGGGGCGGATAGTGAGTTTGTGGAGTCCTGGGCGAAATCTACTTAAGGGCCTACCTAATTATATTACTCGACTAAAAAAATACACCGACCAAAAACAAGCGACCAGAAATTCCTTCCATACTTTCCTGAAAAACGGATTCCTTCCAGAAATTCGTTCCTTACGATAGACACGCACTTGCTTGGATTGATTAATCTCACGGTTGCCAAGTTGATAGTTTTTTTAATATTCAAGATATTTTTTTTATGTTCTAAATATGTTTTCAGCGGGGACTGGGGGCCTTTTGTATCCTCAGGGCCCTGGGCTGCAGCCCAAAAAACCCTTAGGTAGATCCGACCCTGTCAGTGAGTATAATAACACAAGCTCTGCTTACCTTGGGACTAGTTGACGTTTAATGTATTATCCAGGATTTTGACTCGTAAGTAGTATTTATGGATGATCATAAGACCAGAACCTGTAGCTCGGTGGTTATCACCTCACCACTGTTATATATGATGTGATGAGGTGTCGCTACATAATATATTGTTTGTTATAGTATGTAGGTATTGAGTATACAGGTGTAATCATTGTACTATTTATTTTACATTAGTAAGTTTATTAAATAGTAACATGGTTTATTAGTAACACGTGCATTCGACGCCGAGTCAGAACGTGAACTGACTTTACACTGAACTTAAATCTATGATATCTAGAGAGGTACTAATGGAAGAAACTACAATGTCGACAGAAATATTACAAGTATAGGCACAGAGCTATAGGATTCTCATGCGGCATCCTTGATTTATACAATGTCAAAAAGTGTGTATGTATGTGTGTGAGCAATTTGAACGAAGTATATTGTTATAAGTGCTTACTATAGAGGTTAAGTTATACATATATAATGTAGTAACCGCTTTGTTACTTAAAATACCCACTGCAGTTGTGAAATCCGATATTATTGTTCCGTAGGATTTGAGAAACATTGTTGGACGTCAGTGTAAATTATTAAAATCTATAGACTTCATGTGCATAAACTATGATAAAAAACATCGATCTGTAACGTAACTGTATTAGAAGATATACAAAAAAAAAAGAAGAAGATGGAAGATATCCATCTGTCAATGTATACATTGATTTGTATCTTCTAGTGAAAGGGACGGCAACAAAATAGACTCGAAACGTAAAAATACGTCTACACAGACAGTTTTTAAATCAGTTCATATTTAGATATGCACGAAGACGGCGTCAGGGGTCTAGTGGTTTAGCACACTGCTTTACTTCCGATGGTCGTGGTTGCGGGTTCGATTCCTCGCTTGGTACCAATATTTGCATTCACATGATTGATTGCATCGGTCTAGGTGTTTTTTATGTATATTATGTACGTATTTACAAAAAATGTGTATCTAGTTGTCTAGTACCTAACTAAATCACAAGTTCCGCTTAGCTTGGGACTAGATGGCGTTATGTGAATTGTCCAGGTATATTATTATTATTTCTAAAATTACTTATAATATTATAAAAAGAAATATTTTAAGAACAGGTACCTAGAGTACAGACATTTGCAGTGTAAGATCTTTAGAATATTTATTACAGTAAACAATATTAACCTGATATGCAACGCAGTTCCTTAACGAGTGCCAGATGCCGTCGGGGGGCGAGGTCTCCACGATGCGCTGCCAGGCCTCGTCGGCCTCGGGAGCCACCAGGGTCCCGCAGGCCCCGCGCCACATCCGCGCTGCGGCGCACCCTTGGAATTCCCCGGCCGGCACTGCCACAGTGCAATATCTTACTTTATGGGGAGCGGAATGTCACCTATGTACCCTGTCAGACCTTCCTGGACTCCATTCAATTGGAGACGACATGCTGGTCCTCCACGATAGTTAGTTCTTGGCTACGATGAGCAAATTATACTTATTTTATTATTTAATTCTTTGCTGTCCTCCAGGGTACACAATAAAGGTGACCAAAATTACCCAACTAGCAGTTATAAATACTTGCTAAGAATACATTTTTACAGACATTTATATATATATTTTCTTTTATGGATGATAATGGAATAGTGCACCCGACTGCGCTAAAGGTTTACGCTGGCGGGGCACCAGTGGAGGATGATAAGATACACTCTTATTCATTCCATTATAATGCATTAAAAATATTATAAGTATCTACGCAACTTACGCAAGTAGTAGCATCTCTCACTAATTCATTCATGCCAGTACTAGTGTGACAGAGATAGCAACAGACAACGATAAATACCAATGTTACAACTACATCTACAGAATATGTTTATATATAGTTACGTCAAATATTCACAGCTGATTCAATCGCACATATATGCAAACTAATTTACGTAACGCGCCCAAATATTGACTGTTGTCGTAGGGCATGTTAATCGATAACGTACAACACTAGTTACAATGTCAATTGTCAACCACAGTCAACAGTCGAGCCTAATCAATTTTATCCTACTTTATAAAATCAAGGACAAACAAGGTAGGTAAATAATTGTGTGAAATCACCTCCCATATCCGGCTCCTTCCACCAGTTTATCGCCAGCTTATACAGTTTGAGGCCTTTTTGTGAACCTTGAGCTGTAATAAAACAGTTAACTTTTAATAGGTAAAGAAAAAAATCACATTAAAAAAAATTGTTTCGCATCTGCGAATATTTTGCTCATATTCTTTATCTAAAAACATTTATTCATGAATTGTAGACAAAAAATACGTATGCAGTAATTGTGTCTATGATTCTACAGATAAAAAAATATTCACAACAAAATGAATATCGATTTATAATTTAAAACTTACGTGAAATAAACCAGAGTGTCCTCTGGTCGATTGTAGTTTTAATTTATAAAGAAAAACTGTTCTATTTTTGAACGTGACAGTCGCGTAGGGCGCTCTCGAGTCTCGAGTGTCATGGCGCGCGCGCGCGATTCATTCCGTGAGCTCGAGGGGAGGAGAACGCGCAGTGATGTGTACATAAAAACAGTATCGATTGTCGATGTAGAGAAATGCATTACCGTTATCGTTAGCGGAGCGTTTTCAAGCTAACATACTTATTTGTGACTCATTTCATTGTGTATTGTACTGAACATAATAAAATTAATTCAATATTTGCCTGCTTTGCGTCGTACCGCATCGGTTATTATGAATTATACGTAACTAGATATTACCCGCGAATTCGTCTGCTTTTTTAAATGCATTATTTAATCTATCGTCATATCAACTATTATTAAGATCCGTTTATCCCGTTAGCTGTGAAACATTTATAGATTTATAATGTTAATAATGAGAAATTGATTAAAAACTACCTATAAAAAGTAACATTATTTGAATTGTCGGCATTTTCATCTCATCTGTTGTAAAGTAATTTAGGATTCTTTGACGAATTACATTATATTATATTTTCTATTACTATATTTATCAATTTATCTGCTTTTAATGTTGGTGCAATAAAATATTATAAAATAAATAAACATTGATAGTTATTTTTTTATAGTCTTTTGTATGCCTTAATTTGCTATTTTTTTATGACATACTTTTTTATCTACATTTCTTTTAATTATTTCCAACAGTTCACATCACTATTCGTACGGGGAGGGAAAAAGTCTTTAAACGCATGCGCGAGGGTGGTAAACGAAAAGACATTTTAATGAACTTTACAACTACAGCAATCCAACGACCAAATGCAATCTTATTCATAACCTAATAGAGTCGAAATTGTGTTAGATGTTTACAATTAAGGAAGGGTTATATGAATGATTTTCAGATTTCCTGCATAGAGTTAAGAATTAGTTTCGCTTGGCTATGGTTGCAATAAAATTTCAATGAGTCAGACCTTGCAAGTTCAGACATTTCACTCACACCAAGTCGTGTTGACACGTGACATTATTTCAAGGACAGAATAAGTACAGAGTAGACAATAATTTCTGCAATATAAATCACTTTCTCAGGCATATCACATTACATAGGGAAGTTGGTACCTAACTTGTAGGCACTAAACGTTACGACTGATTTAATCTTTCAATCAGTCGATTGTATATTTAATATATTGACTTTGATATTAGTGCTAGTTCCTAGTTTGTATTAACACATTTGAACTTAAAAATGTAAAGATACTACAATTATTAAAAAGAGTTTTTCTTGTGATGAGACATATTTCCGAATGGATTATAGATTAAAAAAATAAATATTAAATGTAATATATGCTTCTTCACTAACATTATCATTATGTGAGGTTAGATCAGTAAAATACCTGTTTGTGCTCCAAAGATTTCTATCTCTTCAGCACATATCAAGGTCCCAAGGAATATAATAATATGTAACACAATTTTACTGTCTTCATTTAATTTAAATACTGAATATTAATTGTAATCTTTCAACTGTCAACTGTTGTGGTAGAGGGGTAGTTCTTCATTTGTTTTTTTATGTACGAGGGTACATAAAAAGCAAATTAAGAACTACCTACATTATTAAACAATTAATATAACATCTGTTCATGGTACCTACTCAATCCACCTTGATACTCCTGACAGTTTTCTCTTAGCAATAATATATCAATCTACATGTATAGATTGTAATATTCGTACAGGCGTGAATTATGTAAACATTAAATTCGCTGCTTTGTCTATTCAAATAAAGATAAACTAACTAAATGTTAAATAGGACGTTGTCTGTCTGTCTACTGTATATTTAAATACGTTTAGATACTTAAATAAGATTGAAATGGCATAAACATACAGTTGACAGCGGGGTAGCTGTTTAATGATTGGTCAACCTGACATGGTATGTTGCTAGCAATGGGAAAATCAATCCATATTACTAATAACCCCTTCGTCTCAAATACAAGTCTCTGCTTAGTTTAGGATTATTATTATTATTGTACATAAAAGACAAATAATTTAAATAAATTTTATTTTCTTAATTTTTTATGCAAAATAAAAAAATAGACACCAATATTTTCAAAGAGTCGTTTGATATCTAATAAATTAATAAAGTATCACCATATATAACGTAAAGTTACATGTTATCACTAAGTATCACAGTTCCTAATACTGTATAGGGTACAGTTCCTCCCATATTTTGAATCTGTCTTCGAAGAGATTCTCCCTAACTTCAAACTGGCTACCGATGCGTAGGTACTTGCGTTGAGTAGGCGTCATGGGGGGCCAGTGTAAAGAAGACAGTTCCGGGAACTCGTTTCCTCGAGGATTTGGATCACTGTGGATTATAAAAATCGGTTTATAAATTGCGGAGTTATGAAGAAACAAATATGAAAAAAATACAGGAACTTTCGTTTTTAGAGTCAGTTAGAATTCCAAGTAATGGCGGTAGGCTCAATGAGTTTATATGTCCCACTTTAGTGTGAACCCTCACACTAAAGTGGGACTCTACTACTCATTGAACATACTGACTATAAGCGAGTTCGGTTGCGATCAGGCCCCTCTTCCCCACTGGGCACACTGGGCACGTCCACAGGGCCCCGCGATGGATTGGGGCCCCTAGACTACTCTAGTCCCTACTCTATTATCAAACGATAACCGATAGCTATTTTACTCTCGCCTGAAAATCTTAACAGATGCTTACCGCTTAATTGGTCGTTTTTGTTAATGTTTTTATGAAAGTCTAGCAAGAACTGAACGCCTATCACATAACGACTATTTAAAATTATTTTTGCCTGGTTTGTTTTGAAGGTAGGGCATCCCCATATACATCTCTAAAGAGTCATGTTCAAAAATGACTTTGTCTTCTCTAATTAGTGCTTCAAAATAGGGCTTTATTACTATGACCATAGGGCCCCCATTATCTTAATGTGCCCAGGGCCTCTAATACGTGAAAGACGGCCCTGGGTGCGATTGGGCAGAGTGGAAGTAGCTGTATTGTGGTATCTTACCCATGAATAGCAAAGTTGTAGTAGATGGCTGTCATCCTGTCCACCATCTGCGAGTCGAGGGTGTCGCCGGCGCGGATGTCGGGGAACGAGGCGGTCAGAGAGAACAGGTAGATCAGGTCGTCGTGGTGAGCAGCCGCTGGAAAAGTAATTTAAATTAAAAATATCTTTATTCATGTAGGTATATTACAGAATAGAATAGAATAGAAAATCATTTATTCAAATAAACTTAATTTAAGCACTTTTGAATAGTCATAACAATTTGTTTTTTATCTATCTGACAAGAAACTCAGCTCGTATTCTTTTCAAATACATGTTGCACATGTTTACAATAATACAGATTCATTTTTAAATTTAAATTTGGGAGTATAAAGTGACTATTAATAATAATATCCCTGGACAATGTTTGCAGCGCCATCTAGCCCCAATTTCAGCTAGCTAAAGTTTCTGGAAATGTATAATAATAATGAATATTCCTGGATTATTCACACAGATCCGTCTAGTCGCAAGCTAGGCAGAGCTTGTGTTATGGGTACTACACAACTGATACACGTACTTAGATTTTTTTTGTAAATACATAGATTATACAGTTAGTTCTTTCAAACATAAATTATTCACTCACCTCTTTAAAGAACAAAAATCATTGTAGCAGGGAACACATATAATATAATAAGCATCTAAAACATGTACCAACTACACCATTTATGTATGTTATATATTTAAATATTATTAATAAATATTATTATAATAAATTATCTTATTACATAACATTATACCTACTTAAATAATATACAAAATTTACTACATAGGTACATTAATTAAAATTGCATTTATCTTTACATACATTTTCATACCTATTTATGAAATGGTCTTAATTTTAACGTTTTATTTTCTTTAGTAATATTTACGTACGCTCTCTCGTGTGTGGTGGTCCCACTGAAAATCAGCGCTGTGGTATATGTATACTGCAGTATAAATGCTGAGTGGGAGTCACATTCAGCGTTACTAGTTTTAGCTTTTAAGTTGTATAGTATATACGATAAATAGCATCTAAGAATACTGTAATGCTGAATAAATGTCTTTATAATAAATTATTATTATTATTATACTTAGAAAACACCCAGACCGTTACAAACAATCATACCCATACTAATGAGTGCACCGTGCGAGGAATCGAAATGAAGTGAAATAATATATTTCCGAAATATTGGTACATTAAATATGAAGTTACATAAAATATTATTGATCATCAGTATTTAATAAATACTTTATTTGTACAACCACAAGCTTACAAAATTAAAAAGGAGGGTACATAATAGTTGAAGGTCATTAGCTAGGTAATCCATGGCAGAAAGTTGTGCAATGCAAGAGGACCTATTTACTATATAGGCATTCAAATTGTGAAAGTGTTCGTTTTACTCAAATATTCTCGGACACTGTAAAAATTATCAAGTGACAGACAATTCTTTAGTTTGTGTTTGAACAATGTATGAGATCTCAGAATCCGCGACCATCTATACATATAAATAAAATTGGAGTGTCTGTTTGTAATATTGAAATAACCGTTTTTTACTACACGCATATGAATAGGTGATGTAAAATATGTGTATTCAGCTCGCTAGCAAAAAGAAAAGACCAGTAATATGGTATTAGAAAACAATCGATATATAAAAACAGAACGTCAAAATGTACAATTCAAAAATATATAAAAAAATATATAAAAACTATCAAAAAGGTTGCCTTCGGTAACAAGTGACTATATCATAGACGTACCTATAGGTTTTCCAGTGGTAGGATCTTGGTAGTGGCTTCGGTTACCAGTGTACGCAAACTCGTAATAGTACACTTTATGGGGCGAGTGGCGACACATCAGGTTAGCCATTCTGTTGAAAAAGAAAAAAAAGATACAGAAAAAAAGGGTAGGTATATAAAGTTGAACGCCAGGTAGAGTATTCATGAACATACCTACCGATTTAGGCCTATCTTCTGCCGAATATACAACGGACTATGTTCTGAGGAATTGTTCGACATGATGCCTACGGCTACCTTTTCGATCACAATAATACAATAATAGTAATAAAAGAAAACGTTAATACAATACATTTAATAAAAAAAATATGATATTACTAGCTTTCCCCCCCTCCGATCGATCCCCCGTCCAATTCGAAGGGATCGATGTTACGACGGCCTGAGCCGAGGTTCGAACCCCTAGTGGTGCCTATATTGTAAATAGCGAGATCTAGTATTTATAGACCGAACTAACTTGTTTGTCATAAGATAACCATTACCCCCGCTTCTGTCCCTACTACACTGACTTCGGTCTATAAATACGGAGGTCGGTAGTTCAATAATTCCCCTTCCGATCGATCACCCGTCCAATTCAACGGGGATCGAAATTACGACGGCCTGAGCCGAGGTTCGAACCCCTAGTAGTGCCTATATTGTAAATAGCGCCATCTAGTATTTATAGACCGAACTAAGTTGCTTGTCATTAGATAACCATTACCCCCGCTTCTCTCCCTACTACACTGACTTCGGTCTATAAATACGGAGGTCGGTAGTTCAATAATTCCCCTTCCGATCGATCACCCGTCCAATTCAACGGGGATCGATGTTACGACGGCCCGAGCCGAGGTTCGAACCCCTAGCGGTGCCCTCAGACTAAAGTCGTATCCGTCAGGCAGGAGTTGGCCTTCAGCCTATATAAGTCCTTCAGCAGGTTTGGAGTGCCATCTACACTCGCTCCTATCGTGCGGTGAAGCTGTAAAGGCCAGCTGCGACCAACAGCATTAGAGTAGTCCGAAAAAAAACTAGCTTTCCGCCCGCGGCTTCGCCCACGTGGACATTGGTTATAGCGCGATTAAAAATACATGCTCAGTAGCGGGATGAATCTTTGAATGCAATATATATTTATATGTCACTCCTATAAATATAAGGTTTAAACTTCTAGCTTAAAAATGATACTTCCATAAAACCTCGCATCTCGCCTTTCATCCCCTTACAACCCTTTTCACATAAAAAGGCAGCCTATGTCCTTCCTCAGGGTGTAGACTGTCTTTGTACCAAATTTTATTTTAATCGGTTCAGTAGTTTTGGCGTGAAAGCAAGACAGACAGACAGACAGAGTTACTTTCGCATTTATAATATTAGTAAGAATAAATATAATAAAATACTCATATATAAGTACCTAAACATGCATACATATACAAGCAACTTACCTTTGATACCAAAATTACCTTTGAAACCACGTTATGTATAGAATAATAACACGTCCTCTCGTCCATTATTATGTAGTATATGTATGTATATTGTATGTGTTGGTGTGTAAGTTTATTTATTTATGTTTATAAAATGTATGTTTATCTATAATTGTATAATAAATAGAGTGTTTAGTGCGCCTCCTACCTTCTCTCTTTATGTAAATACTCTCTGTTAGCACCGGGTTGTCTGTAAGAGATTGCTGATAGCGATAAGACCGCCTTTTGTAAAACATTTATTTTCATTGTTTTATATCTGTCCTATGTTTATGTATGCGCAATAAAGAGTTATTATTATTATTATTCTTTATTTTTTCTCAGCTATTGCTGGTTTTCTCCACACTTACGGGCCGAAACCAAGTAAGTGCATTATTATTATTATTATTATTATTATTAGTATTATGTATCGATTGAAAGGTAATGAGATTTTATTCTTTTTTTAAATGTGGTGATGGAAGGACTTTCCTGACCTGTGTACACCGAAGCCTATGAGTGAGTCAGCATACAGCTTCCCCAGCCCGTCAGCCGTGAACGAGTCGTTCACCAGCCGTCTACCGCCCAGGTACCCCTGCCGGAGCCGGTTGGCTGAGGGCACAGCGGTCTGGTCCTTGGGCAGCACGAAAGCAATGGGCGCTATTCTGTCCCATTCGGAATTCATTGAGTCAAGAATTGCCTGGTTTCTGAGTACGGCTGAAAACAATGAAACAGCATATTTAGGCTTATGAAAACTAGCTGTACGGTCTAGTCAGCACACTAGACCCGTGATTTAAAAAAATACTTTTGCCATTATTATCTATTATATTAATTAACTCGCCCTACTACTAGCTACTCGCCCCGGCTTCGCACGGGAGTACATACATGTACATATTATACATATAAACCTTCCTCTTGAATCACTCTATCTATTAAATAACTGTTTCAAAATCCGTTGCGTAGTTTTAAACATTTAAGCATACATGGTGACAGACAGCGACAGAGACTTTGTTTTATATATGGCTAGTTTTTACCTGCGACTTCGTGGAATTAAACTTTTTATTTATTAAATTAAATCTGATATAAAATTCTCGTGTCATAGTTTTCGTTCCCATACTTCTCCGAAACGGCTTGATCGATTCTCATGAAATTTTGTGAGCGTATTGAGTAGGTCTAAAAATCGGCCAACATCTATTTTTCATCCCCCTAAATGTTAGGGGTAGTCCACCCTAATTTTTTTATTTTATTTTAAGGCAAAACAACGTTTGCCGGGTCAGCTAGTTAAATTTATAAATTTAAGTTTCCTAACTTACTCCTTATAATTAGCTATCTATTAATCTCGTCAAAACACCCAGATCGATAAAAACAATCATACTCATGAATACAAATGTTCGTGCCGAGCGAGGAATCGACCCCGCGATGCACAACCTTGTTATATAAAATGCTTACTGAATGCTTTCCAGAAGAACTCCGCTTGTGTCTGACTGATGATGAATGGCACAGCATGCATCTTGTTCTGCCGGACCGCGTCCAACGGCTTCATTGTGAGGAACCGCTCCTGTCCAAAGTCCAGCTCCACAACTGGTGTCCACACCAGAACTGGATCGTATCCAGGAAGCTGAAACGTTAGGGGACTTTTAAATAATATGATATTTCCGATCAATTCACACAGCTCCATCTAGTCTCCTAGTTAAGCTAGCTAAAGCTTGTATTATGGGCACTAGATAACTGATACAATTACATAGATATTTTTTTTTCGTAAATATATACATATCATACATAGAAAATATCCACACCAATGTACGATGTCAGTTTGACCTCCACGTGGTTCCCCTTCGAAACGTGATAGGTTCCTGCGGAATTTGTCACGATATGCTAACTGACCTGACCTCATGCTTATCTTATCATCCTCCACTGGTGCCCCGCCAGCGTAAACCGTTAGCGCAGACGGGAGCACCATTCCATTATCAAAAATAAAAAAAACATGCAAACAAGCATACGGCCCAATATAGTTTATGGACGGCAAAGTTACCAGAGGTGTCACGTGCGCGTTTTCGACCATTATTGAAAAACCCCATGCTGTATCCGAGAAAACCTCGGCAGGTAGTTCATTTCACAATCTAAGTGTACGTGGGAGGAAGCTCCTCTGAAACAGCACTGTCCGAGACCACTTAGGTTCTACCGTGTGGAGATGAATTCCCTGTCGATGGCAAGCGGTGGAATGGTAAAAGGTAGCCGTTGCCATCATGTCGAATAATTCTTCAGAACAGACTGTTGTATATTTGTTAACACAATAAGCGATGCGAAGTCTCGCCTCAAGCTAGCCACTTCAATTCCATCAGAGAAATCGGGATCATAGAATTCAGGCTTGTAATAATAAAATAATCATCTTTATTTGTCTCAAACGAAAACTAATACAATTGTTGCCCATACAATAATATAATTTAAAACTAATGAAGGAGACAAAACGGACTATAACTCAGTGAGGGCAGTGAGTCCACCCTTTCTGCTATTCTGTTATAGCCTTTATCAGTAAAATAATTCAAATTCAAAAATCATTTATTCATATAGGACATTTTAGCCGCTTATGAACGTCAAGTTTTTACATTATAATTTTTTTCCCTACCGTCCAGTTCGGTATATAGATCCAATTGAGAAGAACTGGCAATAAACTCAATTGAATTACTTTTATTTTTTAAATCCAGTTTATTTACAATGCAATAATTTATATAGGTGTCTATGTCTAACATTAAATGAAAATCCTGAACATGAAAACTATTGCCATGCACGCTCGTCATTCAAGTAATCGTTTAGTGAGTAATAGGGCTTGCTCAGTAAATATGATTTAACAGATGTTTTGAATTTATTTAAGGGTAATTCCAATATATCCTTTGGAATCTTATTGTAAATTTTTATACCTATTCCCATAAAAGACCTATTGACTTTTTCTAAACGATACTTGGGGACAGCAAGTTTGTCTTTAAATCTAGTATTAATATTATGAATATTGCTGTTTTTTGGAAATAAGATTTTTATGAACATATAGGATATTTGAATATATAAATTGAGAAGCAACGGTGAGAATATTTGCATAATACAATAAGAGATCAACGACGACGATAGCACATTAAGTTAAGTTCTAAACTACAACTATGTAATATGATATTATCTGTGCTACAACTAACAAAGTAAACATAAAAATTGTCAATAACTTAACAAGATTACAAATTAATAAAATAGGATAATAACAAACTTAAAAAACATATATATACACATCTAATTACTTACAAAGAAACCTTCCAATGAGTTGCCAATTTCTCTGAAGGTCTTCGTCTTCAGGCAATCCACAATGGCTCGAGAGCTGTTGGTAGGGCACCCTAACAGTTCCGCTTGTTTCACGGCCAGATCTTTCAAGTCATGAGTGTCTGCTACTTGTGAGATGGGTGACCCACTGATTGATATAGCGCGGTGGAATAACCCTGAAAGAAGTAGATCTATTTATTAAAATCTTCATCAGTGTGCAGTTTGATGTAGTCCTGACTCCCAAACTAGCGTGAGTTGTGTATCAGGAGTCAGTTCCTTTCCAAAACAAGGATAACAGTTATAAATTACATGTAGACTTAAACTTAATTAATCTATAGATATAAATAAAATTGGAATGTCTGTTTGTAATATTGAAGTAACCGTTTTTTAATACATGCATATGAATAGAAATACGGTACATACACAAAAATAACATTTTTTACAATTATTGTTTGTCTGTCTGTCTGTCTGTTTGTTCCGGCTAATCTCTGAACCTATTTTAACAGGACTTTTTATGGCAGGTAGCTGATGTAATAAGGAGTAACTTAGGCTACTTTTATTGTAGAAAATAAACTTATATTACACGCGGACGAAGTCGCGTGTACAGCTAGTATGTAATATAATTTAAAGTAAGTAATTAAGATACGAAGACATTACTTTCGATAACGTAGAAGGTAAATATGAGTTACCCAATGGTAAGTGATTACCACTTATGAACACTTGCAGCATAGAAGTTGTAGCTGCGTTACAAATTTTTGGTTCATGTATTAATATAAGGATTACGAGAAATACCTTTAGACATAGGTGAGATCATATGAAGCATGACGCTGAAGGAGCCGGCGCTGCAGCCAGAGATGGTGACCAGGTTGGGGTCTCCACCGAAGGCGCGGATGTTTCTCTGCACCCAGCGTAGCGCCACCACCTGATCTTTGAAGCCATTATTTCCTGGAGCAACCTCATCACCGGTACTGAGGAATCCTAAAGAAAGTTTTATTTTTATGATCAACTTTTCTCCTGTAATATTAGTATGGAGTAGCTGATGCTCGCGATTCTGTCTGCGTAGTTAAGAAGTGCTTCTCCTATGTTTTAAAAATCGTTTTATGTTCCGTTATGTACTCTATTACGATGATAACTTTATAAGACTTAATGTGGTTATCTAATCTATTGCTTGCAGGGGGAAGGGGAATGTTAGTAATGTGGACTATCGACCCCATTGCTAGCAATTTACCATGTCAGATTGACCTCCACACGGTTCTCCCTGGAAACCATCGTAATAAATTCCAGGTGAATTTATTACGATGGGCTAACTGACCTGACCCCATGCTCATATTATCATCCTATCACACTAGTGCCCCGCCAGCGTAAACCGTTAGTGCAGTCGAGTGCATCATTCCATTATCATCTACTAAAAAATCCATTTACCAAGACTTGTTGGCTTGGAAACTATCGTAATAAGTTCCTGGTGAAAACTGACCTGACCTCATATTCATTATCATCCTCCCCTGATGCCCTGACAGCATAAATCAATAGTGCAGGTGGGTGCACCATTCCATTATCATCAATTTTTTATACTGCGATGGTGGCAAACAAGTATACGGCCCATCTGGCCCATCGGTAAACGGTTATCGTAGTCTATGGACGCAAGAGTCTCCAAGAGTGTCACTGTACTGCCATAACCCGTTGTCGCTCAGCTAAAAGGATGCATTTGGAACTAACGCTCCTTTGGCACCCTTAATTTGTGGTTCGGGGTTGCCGACCCAAGTTAAAAAATCTTGAGTCTTCCTGGTATAATAAGACAAAGGCGTACCTAATGAAGCCAGTCTATAGTTGATGGTGACCAGCACCACGTCGCGGTCCAGGAAGTATTGGGGCCCGGCGACGTCGCTCCGCCCCGATATGGAGTAGAAACCTCCAGAGTGCATGTAGAATATTACCGGCAGAGGCTTCTTGCTGAAAAGAAGAGATAGAGAAAAAGACTTAGTATAGAGAATAGAAATAGAAATAATCTTTATTCATATAAACTTAATAAAGACACTTTTGAATCACCATATTTTCTTATTTTACCGCTCATTCGGAACGCAGACTCATCACATGAAGATTGAGCAAGAAACTAGCGCGTTGATCTTTTAAATAAATGTTGTGCAGTATTACATTTTTAAGCATTTTGTGGCTACAAACAGCCAAATAGCAAAGTTGATATATATGTTATTTCTGTTACATTTAAAAAGATAATTTGGAGATAATTCGGACTTACATCTAAGATTGCAAGTTCTAATTTGACCAACATAAAATGTCTATCAGTTATTTCTGAGAGTCTTATAAAGCAAATTAATCAAACCTCGACCGTTATAGGATCTACATCCATATTGCGACAAGTATTTCGCCTCTAAACGAGGCATTATCAGGCATTGAATAGAGTCTGGATATAGTTGGAAGCAGAGGTGTAGGTACCGCCGTATCTCCCATATCAATTATACGGGCGCCCCGGGCCACGGTTGTAAGCAAAAATTAACTTCGCAATTTTTTTTTTATTTCATAAATGACAAAAACAAAAAAGTTATATATTTTTTCCCGCAGCAGCTATATAAATTAAAAAATCTGTTGCCGAAGAGAAGAAAAGGCAAGAAGAGTGTATATTTAATTCGAATTGTCTGTAAAATTTTTGGAAAAGGTGTCAGATAGAGACATTATGATGAAAAAAATGTCGTTCGCATCACCCACTTTTAGGAAGGACAAAGCGCCTCGCAAAGACCTGCTGCCTGGGGCCTCGCAGTTGCTAAAATCTTTACCCTTCGTAAGGGCCCGCAAACAAATTTTTATACGGGGCCCCGCCAAAGCACGCTACGCTTCTGTTTGGAAGCCTAGCGTTGGAATTCGAAAGGAATACTGAGATATACCTTTTATTATTCGGAGTGTAAACGTTGATTCTCAAGCAGTCCTCATCGATGTAGTAGTCTCCTTCAACTGGTTGAGGACAGGCCGGGCCTTCCTCCCTAGCGTCCACTTCTCCCTTGTAATGGAGGATCGGTTTTGGTGGCTGCAAAAGAGCATAAATTTCTATTGAGTCTCCAGAATTTATACCACAATAAAATTGAGTATCTGTTTGTAATTCTTAATTAACAGCTTTACATTAAATGCATGCAAAAATATATACGCTTCAAATAATAATTTAAAACATGTTTTTTATCTGTTTTATTATTACTAATGTCTGAAATGGCGGTGCTGATTTTAACAGACTTTCACTTTCAGATAGCTAATTTTATAAGGAGTAACTCAGAATACTTTTAATTTAGATTTTTTTCATTTATTGAAAAAAACGTTAAATTACGTAACGTACAACCACATTGTGGAATCACCTTCCAGCAATGGTATTTCCGAACCGATACGATATTGAAACCTTCAAGAAAAGAGCTTATTCCTTTTTAAAAGGCCGACAACGTACTTGCAAATCCCCTGGTGTTGCGGGTGCTCATGGGCGGCGGTAATCACTTACCATCAGGTGAGCCACATGCTCGTTTGTCCCCTGTGTTATAAAAAAAAAAAACGTATGTACAATAGGTTTTATAGATTGATAACGTGTACTGTGATTAAAACCTCTAATGTTACCTACATTAGAGGTTTTTTCTAACTTGGGTATTATGGTATATCTTTTCTTCTTCTCTCTGCTCCTGAAGCACAGAAGCTTTCAAATTCAGTTATATACCTGAAAGCGGAGTTCTCCAACTGGTGGTTCAGCATATCTGATGCCTCGGTACGCCTCGAAGCGTCGTCCACGCCGCGTCTCCATCCAAGAACCACGAATGGTTCCTGAAGGGGTCACCGTTACAGGAGTCTGTCCATTTGGACGCGGAGCTGAGTATTTAATTGTTATGTTTACATATCTGTTCATTTACCTTTCTTTCTTTCTTTCTTTATTTAAATTATTAACCGGGTCTTAACACGAATAATTTTATGGCAAATAAAGGTATTTACCTCTCTCGATTTGCCATAAAATTATTCGTGTTAAGACCCGGTTAATAATTTAAATAATGTATATTAAACACTAAAGTTTAAAATTAACTATTCTTTCTTTCTGTTCATTATTATGTAAAGAGAATTAGAGGATACTAAGATGAGAAAATCTGAATATATAATGTATAAAATTCTCGTGTTACAGGAAAAAAAGTGTGTTTATACTCCTCTGAAACGGCTTGACCGATTTTGATGAAAGTTTATATGTATATGTAGTAGGTAAGTGTTAAGGGTGGCTCACGGCAAAATATTTCTTTTAATTTTTATATTTTCTTTCGTTATAGCCAGCCAGCCAGAAATATTTTGTCTATTCTTTTTTAACTTATAATATGGTAGGTACAAATGGCGATCTTAATGGTATATGGCATATCTACCAGCATTTTACGCTTTACTGTCGATGGTCGCCGATTCGAGTCCTCGCACGACACAAATATTTATATTCATTAATAAGACCGTTTGTATCGGTCTGGGTATTTTCTATGTATAAAAACTAAATATTTATATCAGTCGTCTAGTGCCCATAACACAAGCTCTGATTACTATGACACTTTTTTTTTAATTTATTTAAAGTGATATCTGTCGCTTTCACTGTGACGAGATCCTTTTGGCCTATGTCTACCGTGGCACTAGATGGCGCTGTGTTAATAGTGCAGGGTTATTTCTTTATTATTTATATTTTTTTTATATAAACGCTATTATTTTTCGCATTATATTAAATTCTGACTGACAGATCTGATATCAGGTATCAATATGTAGATATAGGTACTCACAAAAACACGAGCATTGATCAATCTCTATGTGATTGATAAGAACTACGGGTAACAATGTTTCAATTCAATGCCACGATCTAAATTCTGAACAATCCTTAAAATATTATAAATGCGAAAGTAACTCTGTATATCTAAAACTACTGAACCGATTTTAATGAAATTTGGTACACACATAGTCCAGACCCTGAGAAAGGATACTTATGTATATATTTTATGTATGTACTAGCTTTTGCCAGCGGCTTCGCTCGCGTTAATTTATCCTCTTAAGGGTGGAATTCATGAAAATCCTTTCTTAGGGGATGCCTACGTCATAGTAGCATTATGCATGCAAAGTCTCAGCCCGATCGGTTTGAAATTGACAAAGTTTCGTACAAACTTTCATCCAATATTTTATCCCCTTGGGGGTAGAATTAATCAAAACCCTTTCTTAGCGGATGCCTACGTCATAACATCTACCTGCATATAATTTCAGTCCGATCCGTCCAGTGGTTTGGGCTGTGCGTTGATAGATCACTATGTCAGTCAGTCATTGAGTTATATATATTTAGATAGAAAACACTCATACTAATTTAGATAAAAAATGTTTACATTCATAAGCGACTAAAATATACTGAGCAAATGATTTTGAATTTAATTTTTAAATTAATTTGCTAAATACATAAAATAAAACGAAAATTTACAGACGTGATATCATAATAGTGTTAATATTACATAATTACCATAACAATGCTATGTACACTGACCTGAGTCCTTATCCCCATAAACAACACCATTGTTTATTAAAACCGTAGTAAAGCACAGTAGAAAAAACTTGCACGACATTTTCCTGTTGTGTTTCGTATAACACTGTCTGTAGATTTATGTCGACTCAGTTTATAAACGCTGTATATAAGAATTCTGATTAACTAATAACTATAATAAGATCGGAAAAACGAAGTCGTATGTTTGTATACAATATCTTCTTCCTTACATAGTATAAAACAAAGTCGCTGTCGCTGTCTGTCCGCACCGGATTTTGCAGCGGTTTTAATAGATAGAGTGATTCAAGAGAAAGGTTTTTAGAATAGAATAGAATAGAATAGAAAATCATTTATTCAAATAAACTTACATTGAAGCACTTTTGAATAGTCATTACATTTTTTAATCTACCGCTCGTTCGGAAAGCTGTCTCATCACAAGAAGAACGAGCAAGAAACTTGCGTGTTGCTCTTTTAAATAATTTTATTATTACTTTACATTTTTAAGTTTAAGTGTGTGAATACAAACCACCAATTAGCACTAATTCAATTAAATACTCAAATAGAAAAAATATTGAATATATAACCAACTGGTTAAACAATTAATAAGAGGAAATCAGTCATAGTGATTAGAGCAGACCAGTCCCTACAAGCAGCACCCGTTCACGAGTATGACGGATGAGCCAGCCATCACTGCGCTCGACCATATTTTAGGGAGCTCAATGACCCGGCCCACCACGCCGCCACAAGTCTGGACATTTTAGTGAGACATTTTACTCAAAACACTAGACTACGTCAAAGCTACTTACAATTGTACAGTTTATATGTATAATACATGTACACGGGTGTACATGTATTATGTACACCCGGGCGAAATAGGGCGAGTAGCTAGTCTTATATATAAAAATGAATTGCTGTTCGTTAGTCTCGCTAAAACTCAAGAACGGCTGAACCGATTTGGCTGATTTTAGTATTGAAATATTCGTGGAAGTCCAGGATTTAAACGGTGATAAAAAATGAAGACATTGCACGTAAAATAGTAAAAACAACAATTTTATTTTCCCATACAAACTGCTGATACCTGTCAGACAGGGTGCGTTCAGAAATTAATTACGTAAGTAAACTTCAAAACCTTTGACATATTTAATTTTGAGGCGGAATGGAGTTCGTAGGGTCAGCTAGATTTTTTTATAAATGTTAATGGAATGGTGCACCCGCCTGCGCTAACGGTCTACGCTGGCGGGGCACCAGTGGGGGATGATAAGATGAGCATGAGGTCAGGTCAGTTAGCACATAGTGACAAATTCACCAAGGATATATCGCAATGGTTTTCAGGGGAAAAAATTTCGATAACTCAATTTTTCAGGTAAATTAATTCTATACGGTTGTTGAAATCTCCTTTTAAGCAAAAAATGGCTGTGCCATGTTAAATATCATCTATACATATATATAAAATTGGAGTGTCCGTTTGTAATATTGAAATAACTGTTTTTTACTACATGCATATGAATGTAAATATGGTACGTACACCAAAATAACATTTTTTACAATTTTTGTCTGTACGTCGGTCTGATTGTTCCGGCTAATCACTGAAATGGCTGGGCCGATTTTGACGGAACTTTTTTGGTAAGTAGCTGATGTAATAAGGAGTAACTTAGGCTACTATTATTTTAGAAAAATTTAAAATTCCAGGATTAATACGAAGTCGCGGGAACAGCTAGTAAAATATGTAATATAGGATTCATTGATTATGTTTAAAAATGTAAACAAAAGATTTGCGAGTATATTAAAGTTTTTGATTTGTTTTATTATTGACAAATGTATATGTGCATATAGAAATAACTAAGTGAGTAAATACAGGAAATAATATAATGGAGTAAATTGCGAAGATCTCTGGGAAATTCTACCTACATTCATTAAAACAATTTATAAGGAAAATGTAACACATTCTAAACATAGCGAATAGACGTAAATGATTCTTAGATGCTATGACTACACTTGTAAATGTAACATATCATTACATAGTATAAAACAAAGTCGCTGTCGCTGTCTGTCCGTCCCTATGTATGCTTAACGCATTTTGAAGCGGTTTTATTAAATAGATAGAATGATTCTAATGCTAATTGGTGCTAATTGGTGGTTTGTACTCACACACTTAAATTTAAAAATGTAAAGTAATAATAAAATTATTTAAGTGAGCAACACGCAAGTTTGCAATATTCGAACTCATGACCTTCTTTGTTATACAGGGTAGTAGCTGCTCGGCCATGACCCTATCATAACTAAGTAGTTTCTTGAATATACTATATACATGGACAATAATGGACGTACAGACTAACGGACACATCTCTGATTTGAAACCAGATGTTTTGATAATATAATACTATACAAGTCGTAGGAACGAGATTCGAACCCGGGAACTTTTTTATCTTAATGTAAACCAACGCAGGTCTAGGTCTGTGGGTAGATGTGTCATTGACTGATAAGAACTCTGTACTCGTATGTATCTGATAGGGTTTATCACAAACACAAATGTTATCTGTAACTTCGATGATATGATTTGACGGCCTCGGTGGTCTACCGGTAAAGCACATCTATTTATTCCTACAGTCGCGGGTTCGATTCCTCGCACGGCTCACACATTTGTATTCATGAGTACAATTGTTTGTATCGGTCTGGGTGTTTTCTATGTATTATGTATTTAAAAATATATATTTAAGTATTTATATCAGTTACGTGTAACACAAGCTCAGCTTACCATGGGACTAGATGGCGTTGTGTGAATTGTTCAAGATATAATAATTATTACTATGATGACGTCATTTCATGATGATTTGACGAGCAATGCAGAAAAAAAATGAGACAGATAAAATTAAATCTTGTTGAAAATAAAGATTATTATTAGACTGAACTTTGACAAACAAACACACGGCTCACCTTATGAAATGATATTATTATCTGTAATATTAATTTTACATACTCATGAAAATAAAAATTTTGCTCTATGCGAGGAGTCGAACCCGCGACCATCAGATGTAAAGCTGTGTGCTAAACGACTAGACCATCGAGGCCGTCAATAATAAATAATGAATAATGGAAAAAAGTAATGGAAAGTGATACCCTCTTTTTTTATAAACTACTCTAATGCTGTTAGCCGCAGCTGGCCTTTACAGCTTCATCGGACGATAGGGGGCGAATGCAGATGGCACTCCAAACCGAAGGAAGGACTTATGGAGCGGCTGAAGGCCAACTCCCGCCTGACGGATACGAGTTTAATCTGAGGGCACTTACCGCCATCTTAAACTAGGCTGGGGCCCTTGGGCACACAATAATTCGGGGCCCTTTTGGAAAGCAAAAAAAACTTATTATGTATAAAAACATAGGAATAGGCGAAGTAATCGGTATAATGGCGTAGTATATGCCTTGTAAATACCTTCTGATAACATTACTGATTTGTGAAAGTGTAGTGTGCCCGACAAAAATCTTTTGAGATTAAATGTGTGAGAAAAATTGTCAGTCCTTCGGGGGCCCTCTGAGATTGGGGGCCGTGGACACGGGTTCCGTGTGCCCTTATGGTAAAGACAGTATTGAGGGTTATGTACTAGGGGTTCGAACCTCGGCTCAGGTCCCCGGCCGCAGTAATTTCGATCCCCGTTTGAAATGGACGGGGTATCGATCGGAGGGGCATGTCTTATCTGTACGAGGTTTCTTGCAATGTGACTTGAATGAGGAAAATAAACAATAATTAATTACAAATGGGAACCCCGTACAGAATTACTCATCCTTATCAATATTTCCGTACAACACATGCTGTTTACAAATGTATTAAAATGTATGTGATGATTAAAACTAAAATGGCGCTTATGACAAAACGGTCGTGAGATCTGACCGTTATAGATTGTGAGCGATTGTGTATTAAATGACTGACCACCGCACCGGTCTAGAGGTTTAGCACACCGCTTTACTTCCGAAGGTCTCAGGTTCGATTCCTCGCACGGCATAAACATTTACATGAGTATGATTGTTTGCATCGGTCTGGGTGTTTCTATGTATATTATGTATAACAATAATAATATAATAATAATCTCAGGACAATTCACACAGCGCCATCTAGACCCAAGTTAAGCTAGCTAAAGCTTGTGTTATGGGTACTAGATAACTGATACATAGGTATACATAGATATATATTTTTTTGTATATACATACATATTATACATAGAAAACACCCAGACCGATACAAACAATCATACTCATGAATATAAATTTTTGTGCTGTGCGAGGAATTGAACCCGCGACCATCGGTCGTAAAGCGGTGTGCTAGACCGCTAGACCACCGAGATCGTCAAATTTGGAAAAAAAAGTATTTGTTGTCTAGTACCCATAACTCAAGCTCTATTTAGCTTGGGAATAGATGGCGCTGTGTGAATTGTCCTGAGATTATTATTTGTGGATGACAGTTATTTTCTAATCTATCTTTCATTATAGGTACTTAATTTTTTTCTATTTCGTTCACTCACTGCATTTCGCTCCGTGGGAATCTCCGATGATGGTATAGCTCTTCAAAGGTGACAATAAAAAAATAATTAAAGACATCATCACATAATGCGATGAATGAACTCCACGTTTATGGCAACTTATTGCCATTAACAAGTAATTTGCGGCGGGTTCACGTGGGAAAGCTTTGCGAACAATCAATACGCTTTTATAGTATACTACGTCCGCGTGAAATTTAACTTTATTTTTCTAAAATAAAAGTAGCCTAAGTTACTACTTATTACATCAGCTACCTGCCAAAAAAAGTCCCGTCAAAATCGGTCCAGTCATTTCAGAGATTAGCCGAAACAAACAGACAAACATAAAAAATTGTAAAATATATTAATTTGATGTATGTACGGTACATTTATATCCATATTCATGTAGGTAAAAACGATTACTTCAATATTACAAACAGATACTCCAATTTTATTTATACGTATAGATTATGATCGCATTTCACCATTTACCATTAGTAATTATAATAAAGTAATTTTACTACATTTTAATTATTATAACAATAATGTATATGTAAATAATAATGAAAGTCCAATCAATAGCTGCTATAAATATGATGCAACAATTTGTATCGTTGTAAAATTTTGCTCTTTTAATAATTGTGGCGTTTTATACTAACTATTATAAATTAAACATGACATTTTGGCTCAATATATAAAAATAAGTACGCAAATACGTCAATAATAATATTCAGAAAGAAATTTTAATTTAACTTGACGGTAAAGGGATGAAAAGTTTAAAAAAAGGGTTGAAAGCTTCTTTTTTAAAATAACTCCATAATGGTAAGAGATATTTAAAACAAATAAAAGTAAACCATTTTTGTATTATATTTATCGTCAAGAACTTATCTTTTGTTTTCCTGGTATATCTGAATGTCATAACCGTCGTGGAGGTATCATTACATAGTATAAAACAAAGTCGCTGTCCGTCCTTATGTATGCTTAAATCTTTAAAACTACGCAACGAATTTCGAAGCGGTTTTTTTAATAGATAGAGTGATTCAAGAGAAATGTTTATATATATAATACATGTACACCTGTGCGAAGCCGGGGCGAGTAGCTAGTTTTTATATAATTTAAATATGACTATCCAAGTTCAGTTAGAGTGTAAACAGTCACAAAAGTAACGGTGTTAAAAGTAACGTACCGGCGGAACAACTTTCGTAGAAAAAGAATACGTAAATTCGTTTATAGTTTTTGCGTAAATTGGAGCGACGCAAGTGAGTACCGGTGTGGCTGTAGTACCTACTTATGATCAGTGTTGCCAGATAGGATGTTCCCTCCTCAATTTAGGGGATTTCACATGGGAGATTGGGGGGTTATTAGTAATGTGGACTAATAACCTCATTGCTGGCAATGTACCATGTCAGGTTGAGTTCCACGTGGTTCTCCCTGGAAACTCAGTTAGCCCATCGTGGTAAATTCACAATGATTTTATCACGATGGGCTAACCGACCTGACCTCATGCTCATCTTGTCAACCTCCACTGGTGTTCCGCCAGCGTAAACCGCTAGCCCAGACGGGTTATTTTACACCATTCCATTATCTTCATAAAAAAAAAACCATGGGAGATTGTGGGTTTTCCTGAAAATAAGTGAGGCACTATTTTCAGAGATAAAAAATTTAAGTTTACGTGTAAATTTTATCGAATTAGGTGTTATTTGGCGGAAGTCAATTTAGTTACTTAATGGATTTATGTTATTTTATTTAATTTCAATACTATTAGCATATTGTGATCTCTCAAATTCTCAGTGCGGAAACCTGACCATCGCTACTAGGAGCGTTATGACGCTATCTATTTGTGATCAAATTCCGATCATTATCGGATCTACCTGTACCTTTATTGGGACACGTGTTTCGCATCTAAACAAGATATAGTTCGGTAGTATTGGCGGATCAAGAACTGCAGAACAAAAAAGTATATTAACCGACGTAGAGTATACCAGTGGAAATACAACAAAAGCAATAACTGTTGTAGAAGAAGCCTAAAAAGATCATCAATTTCACGTGCTTAATCATTATTACATAGTACAAAACAAAGTCTCTATGTATGCTTATATCTTTAAAACAACGCAACGGATTTTTAATAGAGTGATTCAAGAGGATGGTTTATATATAACACATGTACACCCGTGCGAAGCCCGGGCGAGTAGCTAGTTAAGAATAGAAAAAAACAAAAATTGTAGAACAAGCGCCCAAAACAAATCGTCTACTGGATTGCGAAAGGTGTGTTACTAAAGCAAACTTCTTTATTCGCGATCTTTTTCTTTAAAACATGACTTGATGGGGATTTTAAAGAAAATTCAGGGGTAAGTCAGTTGGTTATATGGCAACACTGAGTACAACGATTAGTGTGGAGTTGTATGCAGCTATTCGCTCTACTTGGAACATTACAGAGCAGTTGACTGGCCCAATTATTTAAATGACTACTAGAAATAAATATTCTCTGTTCAAATCAAATATAAGCATTTTTTGTTTTTTTTTTACTGTAATATATGTACATAGGGGCCGTTCAAGTATTACCTAAGCACTATAGGGCGGGGGGGCGTCGGGGTGTTGGGGGGGGGGGGGAGGGTGTTAGATGTATAATGCTGGCCATCGTAGAATTAATTGTTTGTACATTTTTATAAAATACTAGCTGTCCAGGCAAACGTTGTTTTGCCTTAAAATAAAAAAAAAATTAGGGGTGGACTACCCCTAATATTTAAGGGGATGAAAAATAGCTGTTGGCCGATTCTCAGACCTACTCAATACGCTCACAAAATTTCATGAGAATCGGTCAAGCCGTTTCGGAGGAGTATGGGAACGAAAACTGTGACTGTGACACGAGAATATTATATATAAGATGTCACTTTTAAATGTAATATTATATTATCTGTGCTTTTAATATCTCAGGAAAGTTTTCTAATGTCAACATGTAAACTTTATCATTTTAATATATCTTAATATTTAATCTACTGCTGCTTTCTCTTATTTCCAAAAGAGGGTCTTTGCTTTGCTTATTTTGGATGACATGGGGGGTGGGGGAGTCTAGATGATGATTACGTCATCGGTAATTATTTACTTTTTTACACGAATGGCAACCCTCACATTGTCTTTGCTAAAAAACAATACATTAATTGAATAATGTTTACGTAAGCATCGGAGTAAGAGAGTAAGGAGTAAGTAAGAGCTTTGCTTACTTTTGATGACAAGGGGGATGGGGGGTGGGGGGAGGGAATAAATCTACTTAGTGTGTCAGTATTTATATCTACGAAATTTTCAAAATTTCCTCATAAACCGAAGGTACACAAAATCTCGGAAGAATCTAGAGAATCTTTGCACGTTTGGCATCCTTTGTGCCCACTATCTTTCATATCTATACATATAAATAAAATTGAAGTGTCTGTTTGTGATATTAAAATAATCGTTATTTACTACATGCATATGAATATAAATAGTACAGTACAGTACATATACCAAAATATCATTTTTTACAATTTAGATCTGTTTGCCTGTTTGTTCCGGCTAATCTCTGAAGTGGCTGGATCGATTTTGACGGGCCCTTTTAGGCAAGTAGCTGATGTAATAAGGAGTTACTTATGCTACTTTTATTTTTAAAAATTCTTTTATTACAGCACAGCTAGTTTAATATATAAAATAACTTTTATCCCGCTAGTGACCTCCAAAATTTATATCTCGAAAATAAGGATTGGATAAAATAACGTTTCTCGATTCAACTAGTATTCAAATAAATTTTCATCGCATCAACAGCGCTCTACCCTAGAAATCATAACAACTCTATGTGTCCTTTCTCCAAATCGTATAATTTCCCGTTCTCTCACCGCTGTGCCGCTACATACAGTCGACTCGAGATCTTCCGACTGGAAAGCATACTGCCAGTGCGTCTGCGCCTCGACAAAAAGTAAACAAAAAAAAAATAAAAAAGCCCGCCATCACTGCGATTGGAAAGTGCGGCGTTGAAAAATCTTTTTTATTTAATATTTAAATGCTTTAATGTTTTTATAAATGATTAGGTGAATTGTGAACATTTAGTTTTGACTGTGTGTGATCATTATTGGCGGGAAAAATGACGCGACCGGCTTTCATTTGTTTGGTAAGTTATTAATACAATTTATTAGTTAAAGCAAAATTAAAAAGTATATTCACATTGTATTAAATTAAAGTTTCTATTTATAACTAGCTGTTCTCGCGACTTCGTCCGCGTGGAATTTAACGTTATTTTTTTATAATAAAAGTAGCCTAAGTTACTCCTTATTACATCAGCTACCTGCCAAAAAAAGTCCTGTCAAAATCGGTTTAGCCATTTCAGAGATTAGCCGACAGACAGACAGGCAAAAATTATAAAAAATGTTATTTTGATATATGTACCAAATATATATTCATATGCATGTAGTAAAAAACGGTTATTTCAATATTACAAACAGACACTCCAATTTTATTTACATGTATAGATAAAAATAATAGTAATAATAATATCTCAGGACAATTCACACAGCGCCATCTAATCCCAAGGTAAGCAGAGCTTGTGTTATAGGTACTAGACAACTGATATTTGGGGAAAAGGGTTTGTAATTAATAGGGTCTAGTGTCCCCATTACTAGCAATGTACCACGTTTTTTTATAACACAGGGGACAAACGAGCATGCAACATCAACTGATATAAATGCTTAGATTTTTTTTTGTAAATACATACATAATATACATAGAAAACACCCAGGCCGATACAAAACCATACTCATGAATGACAGGTTTGCACTGTGTGAGGAATCGAACCCGTGACTATCGGATATAAAGCGGTGTGCTTAACCGCTAGACTACTGAGGCTTTCTGTAGTTCTGTTAAAGTATATGTAGATAACGGTAGCCACATTCCATCATGTGGGGAATCAGCTCGTACCTATTTCTAGGTACATAAAAGTAAGTCAATCGTTTTGCCTTTTATAATCGAGGTAACCACTATAATCTCTCTCTCTAGACTTAACTAGAAAACGTATTTGTATTTACATTATGGAAACTATCGTAATAAATTCTCGGTGAATTCCACACGATGGGCTGACTGACCTGACCTCATGTTCATCTTATCATCCTCCACTGGTGCCCCGCCAGCGTATACCATTAGCGCAAAACGGATGCACCATTCCATTATCATCCATAAAAACAAACCTTCCTCTTGAATCTATCTATTGTTAAAAACTGCATTAAAATCCGTTGTGTAGTTTAATAAATCTAAGCGAAGGGTCGGCAACGCGCACGTGACACCCCTAGTGTTTCAGGCGTCTATACGCTACGGTAAGTTTACCATCAGATGGGCCGTATGATTGCCAACGTAGTATAAAAAGGAACAGACAGCGGTAGCGACTTTATTCAAATTCAAATTATCTTTATTCATGTGGGTCTATTACAGACTCTTATGATATGTCAAATCTTCGGTTCGGAATGATTTCGAGATGAGAAGAACTGACAAGAAACTCAGCTCGTATTCTTCATACCAGTGATTTACAAAGCGGTCTATATCGACCCCCAGGGGTCTATGACAAAATAGAATAGAATAGAAAATCATTTATTCAACATTTATCAAACATTTATTAGTCATAACAATTTTTTTATCTACCGCTCATTCGGAAAGCTGTCTCATCACAAGAAGAACGAGCAAGAAACTTGTGTGTTGCTCTTTTAAATAATCCAACACGGACAAATTGCAAGAGGTCTACGATAGAGGTCATCTTGTTGTTTTTAATACTAAACTTTACTACAGTTATCATCATCTGCTTCTTCCTTATCCCAATTATTTGGGGTCGGCGTAATATGTTTTTCGCTTCCATTCATCCCTGTTCGCAGTCATCGCGTTATTTACTTCCTTTCTTACCATATCATCTTTCACACAGTCCATCCATCTCTTTTTCGGCCTTCCTCTGCCCTTATAACCATCCACATTCATATGTAACACCTTTCTTAAAATATTATCCTCGTTCCTACGCATTACATATCCATACCATGACAGACGATTACTCTTCAACCTCTCTGACACCGGTGTCACTTTCATACTTCCTCTAATGTATTCATTCTTTATCTTATCCATTCTTGTCACACCACACATCCACCTCAACATTCTCATTTCAGTTGCATGCAGTCGTCTTTCATCCGTCGCCTTTACGGGCCAGCACTCTGATCCATACAAGACAGCAGGCCGGATCATGGTCTTGTAAATTTTCCCCTTAAACTTTACTACAGTTAGAAATTTACAAAAAATCAATACCAGGTAAGAATGGGGGTCTACCGAAACCGAAAAATATGGTAAGGGGTCTACGACACAAAAAAATTTAGGAACCTCTGCTTTATACTGTCTTGGTTTATTATATTATCTTATAGTATGTAAAGATTACAAAAGTAATCACGTATCGTACGAGATAGAATGACTCACGAATAGCTTAGAAAGCGGCTGATGTTTTTTTTTATCATTACAAAATATAGGCAATGATCTAGTTTCGGACAAGTGGATCATGTCGTTGCTATTCGTAGATCTAACAATTAAGGTTTTGTTTTACTATTGCTGCAGTTTTCCTTATGACATTCTTACTAACATTATATGTTATCTCGGCCTCAGTGGTGTAGCACATCGCTTTGCGTCCGATGGTCGCGGGTTCAATTCCTTGCACGTGCAATTTTATTCATGAGTATGATTGTTTGTATCGGTCTGATGATATGAAATTCGTTGAAAGCAGAATTGAAATCGACAGGCGGAATGTGCAAATGAGTTACTTCCCTATCTACGAGAAGTGTGTAAAAGTAATAAATAACAGTTAAAGATTATGCTTGGGTCTCGCAGGCTGAATTTTGAACTATCTGGAGTTATGTTTTGTATGTTAATTATGAATGTATTTACAAAAAAATGTAGTTGTGTAGTACCCATAATAATGGCTCTGCTTGGCTTAGAACTAGGTGGTTCTGTATGAAATGTCCTGAGATTATTATTATGATTATCTATGTTATATTATTATATACTACTGGTCACACAGTGATCGGAATTAGACCATAAATAATTTAACATTCAGTAAAGCTACTCAGTAAGTTAATTTACCTAAAGCTTGTGTTATGGGTACTAGATAACTGATAGGTATATACATACATAGATTTAATACAGTTTTTGGCAAAATATAGAGTGATTATAAAGGAAGGTTCACATGGTAATATAAATCTATACATATAAATAAAATTGGAGTGTCTGATTGTAATATTGACATAACAGTTTTTTACTACATGCCTATGAATATAAATACGGTACATACACCAAAATAACATTTTTTTAAATTTTTGTCTGCCTGCCTGTCTGTCTGACTAATCTCTAATGTCCGGCTAATCCCTGAAATGGCTGGACAGATTTTGATAGGATTTTTATTGGCAGGTAGCTGATGTGACAAGGAGTAACTTAGGCTATTTTTATTTTAGAAAAATAAAGTTAAATTCCACGCGGACGAAGTCGCGGGTACATAGCAGATATATATGTGGTGTGTGAGGAATGTGGGAGGAATGGCATCATTTGCTAACTCCGGTATCCGATACCGTTCCGAGCCGGTGCCGTTACCAATGAATATTGCATGAGACGCGAATGAAGTCAGATAATCGATTGTACACATCTTATCCAATACAAACCGGAGAATTCACTTTAAAAATAAACTACTACTTTTGACGGCCTTCCTATGGTCGCGGGTTCGATTCCTCGCACGGCACTTTTGTAATCATGGGTATGATTGTTTGTATCGGACTGAGCGTTTTCTATGTATAATATGTATGTATTGTACTTTATTTATACAGAAATAAAAAGGACAATAAACGTAAATTTAAAAACCTTAAAAAATATGATATAATAACTAAAATATATTATTAAAACGAGTCCCTTATGCATTTACGAAAAAAAAATCTATGTATTTGTATCAGTTTTCTAGTTATGGGTATAACACAAGCTTTGGCTAGCATAACTTGTTTAGAAGGTGCTGTGTGAATTGTCCTGAGATTATTATTATTATTACTATTAGATACAGTTTTTTAAATGCAATTAGAGAGGTTGATAACATAACGATCCCAAATTAGAATTTAAAAATGAATCTGTATTATTGTAATAAGAGCTTTCAGATAGTTTCTTGTTATTTCTTCTCAGGTCGAAAGCACTCTGAACTGAAGGTAGATTTGGCGTCTCATAAGAGTCTGTAATAGACCTACATGAATAAGGATATTTTGATTTTGTTATTATGTTAATATATATAAAATTTACAAATTTATAAGCACAAAGAGGAAAGCTAGGCGGGCCGTTACTAATAGGATTAAGGCTAGGCACAGACGAATAGTTTTATATGGGAAAAGTAAATTTTAAATCTCGTAAACAACATGAGTCATCGTCAAGAGTGACCTTAATTGACAGTGTTGACGTAGGATCAGGAACAAAACCTCCGACCGTAAATACCATGCGAGAAAACATAACGGTGAGCAATGTTTTGGACATATTATGGAATTGTAAACAGATGTTGTCACAGATTTCTTTAAACCTATAGTCTGTTTTTTAGAGAGACAGGAGACTAAATTGATATTAGGTATGTTGACAGCTTTTTGGAATTTTTAAATAGTGTTGTAACAGTGTGTGCTATATATATTAATAAACATTTGTATCAATATTGATTTATTTTATAAACATATACCGTCGATTAAATAGAAAAAGGACGCTTTTCAAAATTAGAAGCTAGAAATGCCTCCTTTTATATAAGTCAATTAAATTAACCACGCCGTCTTAATCATTATCTAAATACTTTTAAAATGATATATAATACTTCTGTGTTAATTTATAAATTTTAAAGCGAACAATAATTTAAATGAATTAAAAACAAAACTTTAAATGCTTGTCTTGTAAAAAAAAATACATTTTTAATACTGCCATTTTTCTATTTAACCGACGATATATCAATACAAAAAAAGAATGAACTTTAGCCTTTTTTAAAAAACAAATGACCTATACGATGTTCATTTGTTTGATTGTCATATTTCAAATATACATCTATTAAAAAAAATTACCTGTTTGAAAGTAAAAAAAAAATGTTGGTTTGTA